CGTGGTATTCCCTTGTGACGGGGGGAGGTCCGTAACAAAGTCCACCGATAGGTGTGACCACGGCCGTTATGGAATGGGGAGAGGTTGTGATTTCCCTCTGGGCAGGTGTCTAGGTGCCTTGCACTCAGCGCACACCGAACAGGAGGAAACATAAACCGTCACGTCCTGAGCTAAGGTAGGCCACCAGTACTTCCCACTAAGACAGCGCACTGTCCGACCAATGCCAGGATGACCAGAAGAGGGTGACGTGGGAGCCCAATAGTTCAATCGATCGCGAACATCAGACGGAACGTACACACGACCCACTGGACACTGGGGGGGAGTGGGCTCAGTGCGTAACACCCGCTCGATGTCCGCGTCAACCTCCCATACCACCGGTGCCACCAGACCAGAAGCCGGAAGTATGGGAGTGGGCTCCCTGGACCGCTCCTCTGTGTCATACAGCCGGGACAGAGCGTCTGCCTTAACATTCTGGGAACCTGGTCTGTAGGATAGGGTGAAATCAAAACGCGTGAAAAACATGGCCTACCTTGCCTGGCGAGGGTTCAGTCTCCTCGCCGCCCATATGTACTCCAAATTGTGGTGGTCAGTCAAAATGAGAAAAGGGTGTTTTGCCCCCTCAAGCCAATGTCTCCACGCCTTTAGAGCCTTCATAACAGCTAACAGCTCCCGGTCCCCCACATCATAGTTTTGCTCCGCCGGGCTGAGCTTCTTTGAGAAAAAAGCACAGGGGCAGAGTTTTGTGGGCGTACCCGAGCACTGAGACAGTACAGCTCCTATCCCAGCCTCGGACGCGTCCACCTCGAATATGAATGCCAAGGAGGGATCCGGATGAGCCAACACAGGAGCCCAAGTGAACAGTGCCTTCAGGTGACAAAAAGCCCTGTCCGCCTCCGCTGACCACCGCAGGCGCTCCGGTCCCCCCTTCAGCAAGGAGGTAATGGGAGCCGCTACCTGACAGAAGCCCCGGATAAACCTCCGGTAGTAGTTGGCAAACCCTAAGAATCGCAGCACCTCCTTAACCATGGTTGGAGTCGGCCAATTACGCACGGCTGCAATGCGGTCATTCTCCATCTCCACCCCTGACTCGGACAGGCGGTGTCCTAAGAAGGAGACGGACTGTTGGACGAACATACATTTCTCAGCCTTGACGTAAAGGTCATGCTTCAACAGTCAACCAAGCACCTTGCGCACCAGGGACACATGCTCAGCTCGTGTAGTGGAGTATATGAGAATATCATCTATATACACCACTACACCCTGTCCGTGCAGGTCCCTGAAAATCTCATCGACAAAGGATTGGAAGACTGAGGGAGCATTCATCAACCCGTACAGCATGACGAGGTACTCATAGTGCCCAGAGGTGGTACTAAATGCCGTCTTCCACTCATCCCATTCCCGGATACGCACCAGATTGTACGTGCTCCTGAGATCCAATTTGGTGAAGAAGCGCGCCCCATGCAATGACTCTGTCACACTAGCAATGTGTGTAGTGGGTAACTACATCAGTGTTCAGGACTCGATCCATAGCTGTGCCCAAAGTTTGTAGCATGGTCGAGTGCTGCTGGATGCGTTCCTCCACTGAGCTTGAAGGAATGGACGTGCCTGCTGACTCCATTACAATGGTGCGTGATTCTGTCATGCGTCTGGGTGTAGCGGTAGGATGGAATCAGGCGCAGGACACAGAACTATAATAACAAAGTTCTTTACTGGACCACGCAGGGAAGAGCAAATACCGGCTCACCAAAAGACAGCAAAACAACGAACAATCACGCACAACACCATGAGGGAACCATAGGGAAACAAATGAACATAATGGGTAACAGGTGTGATCAATACAGACAAGACAAGTATAACACAGAAAACATTGATCGGTGGCAGCTAGTACTCCGGTGACGACGAACGCTGAAGCCTGCCCGAGCAAGGAGGAGGGGCAGCCTCGGCTGAATTCGTGACAGAAGTAGATGAGAGAATGAGGTGGTGTGTTCAAGCCTTAGAATGGATTTAAGTTAATCAAAATGTTTTATTTCCCACATAATCTTAGTTTATGTCTCTTTTGTAGATCTGATGACCTCAGTTGGTTGCAAATGTAAACGTCCTCTTTCTGCAACACTCCATGGTCAGTACCCCCTTTAACCATCAAATCAAGAGATACAATATTTTGTTATCTTACTCTCCTCTCTTGCCAAAGTGGATTTTTCCATTCAAACCAAAGGCCTTTCAGATCTGTCCAAGGCACCGTTGCCATGGTTACAGAGTTATTTGATTTAATTGGGTCACCTGGCCTGTGTGCCCTTTGATGATGACACATCAATTAGCAAGAACAACTCTGTAATAGACAGTGAGTGGGAACAGCATAATAAGATTAACTCAAATGGCAACAATTCAGGCTTTGAGATGTAGAGACTTGACCTCTGCTGTTACAACAGACTGAGAGAGATGGACAATGGATTAAATGGTCTGAATAACTAAGACTGTAATCTGCTAGTTAGTTAAACATGGTACTATTACTATATAATAAAAATCCAAATGATCTGTTTGTTAATTTTTGTTTACACCTTCAAAGATATGTATTTGCAATGGTATTTGGTTTGATTCATACGGTTTGTTCTTAGCATTCTTACCCATAACTTTTACATGTGTGCAAGAGAATCCTCCAAGCAAGATATTATTTGAAATAATATCTTAAAGGAACCATCGTATTTATCTTATATTTGTTTTTCTTTTGTGGTGCACAGTTAGATAGCTCTCTTTTCTGAAAACTGACAATATTTTCTATTGTTACTCAAATTATTTTTTAAACTTCTTTCTGCACACTCCTAGAATATCAAATATTCAAAGTATTGAATAGCCTGCACATAACTGAATGGAAAGACATCCATAGGCCTATACTGTACTTGAACTTTGATGCACAAGGCTTATTTAAATACAGTTATTGGGATGCAACGTTTTTTTAAATGTTGCACTTATCATTATTTTTAATCAGCATATAATTTTAAAAATATTCCTACATTTCATTCCTCTAAGCAGCTGATGCCTTGTGCTCTGAATGATGTTACTCAGGTAGTCCTGATTGGTATTCCTCTTACTTTGGTATAGATTAATTTGCCATTTACCTTGTTAACAGTTATAAATCTCATCACAGTACTGTATAAACGGTTGGTATCAGGCATAAATGTTTGCTGATTGAAAACTACTAGGTGTTTTGTGTGATCTGTAGCTTTTTGACTATCTTCTTAGGAATAAAATGACTATTCTATGGCATGTCTTTACGGTAAAGTTATTTGGAATAATGGTAGTCTATCACACCTTTGTTCAATACACAATAGAACTATGCCCCATATGCTATGGTTCAGGTGGTGAGAAATAAGAGTAGCTGCCTAGGGATATCAAGGTCCTCCAGTATCCCAGAAGCCCCGATCCGCCCTATCAGGAAGAGACCAGCAAAGGAAAGAAAATATTGAATGTGATGCGTTGCCTATTAGGAATGAAGTGGGGGGCAGATAGAATGGCGTTGAAAATGCTATATATAGCGCTGTTAAGGTCATCACTGGATTATGGAAGTGTAGCAGCATATACTGTAGATCAGCAGCTCAGACATTTAAAAAAAAGCTAGATGTAATTCAGGCCCGAGCCCTAAGAATATGTTGTGGAGCACTCAGGACCTCCCCGGTGGCAGCGATGCAGGTAAAGTTGGGAGAGATGACGTTAAAGTTAAGAAGACAACAGCTAACCATGACATATTGGGTAAATCTACAAGGACATAGGGTTACACATCCTACAAAAAAGGTGCTCCTACAGTGCTGGGAACATGAACAAAATCGGAATACAAGTTTTGGGTGGATAGGCAATGGCATGGCAAGAGAGATGGGGTTGTTTGGGAGGGAGTTTAGCTCCTCTTGGTTCTTCCTGCTATCCCACCTTGGTTGCTCCCTCAGCCAGTGATAGATCTAGGGTTGATTGAGAGGGTAAGAGCTGTTGAGGAAGGAGTAGATTCAGTTGTAAGTGAACATTTAAGAACACAATATTATGCTTTCTTTAATATATTCACAGATGGATCTAAGGACCCTAAAACAGGGAGGACAGGTGCAGCTTTCAGTGTTCCTGATTTTAAGGTGACAATGACAAAAAGAGCAATGGATCATTTATCTGTTTACACAATGGAGTTGTTGGTCATACTCTTGGCTGCAGAGTGGCTGGAGGAGGTGAGGCCAGACAGGGTAGTCATCTGCTCTGACTCCTGTGCAGCACTGATGAGCTTAAATTCATTTCTGTCTCGGAGCAGACAGGATGTAATGTATGAGGTTTTGCAGTGCTTGTATTTGGTGAGATAGATGTTTTTTTTCTGATGTTCCTCTTGGTACCAGCTCGTGGGATTAGAGGGGAATGAGGAGGTGGATGTTATCGCCAAGCAGGCTCTTAAACATCCTAATGTTGAGATTGAATTGTCAATCAGTAAAGCAGAAGCCAAGGGGTTGATGAAAACACTGGTTAGAAACAAATGGCAAGAGTTGTGGAACAGGGAGGGAAAGGGAAGACACCTGTATAAGATTCAGGAAAAGGTGGGAGCAGAGAGGTCCTCAGGCTGAAAGAGAAGGGAGCAAAGTGTAGTCACAAGGCTGAGACAAGGCTCAATAGTACATTGAAATTGGTGGGGAAACATCCGACTGGGAGGTGCGATCATTGTCAGCAGGAGATGGAGACAGTGGAAAACGTTCTATTTCAGTGCCAGAAATATGGGAGGGAAAGGGTAGCGATTGTTATTCGATTTGAGGGGTAATGGGGTTGAAGAGCCAAGATTAAGTGCACTGCTGGGGAAATCTTCAGGGGATGTAGCATTTAATTATGTATTTCGTTTCCTTAGGAAGATTAGAATATTGGGTAGGATTTAGACCTTCCCTGTCTCTGGTCCACACTCCAGTCCAGTTGGTGGCGGTAATGCACCTTAATGTTGGTTGCCAACCGTCATGTAAAACCACAGAAGATGAAGAAGGAAGTGACCTGCCTCGGCTTTCTGCGGTAGCTAGCTAGCTGTGCATGATGATGGAGGAGGAAGAATTTGAATTTGCGGAGGATTTGGAGGCTATTTTGCACCTTACTCCAGAGGTGCAGTTGGCCATCGAACAGGTAATCATGTGCTAAGAAGGATAGTTTCTTATCTACAATGAAAATGATAGGCTGTATTCAGGCATGAGCTAGATAGCTAGCTAACCTAACGTTAGCTGTGTTATCCTAGTTAGCTACTAGCTAGCTACATTAGGATTGTCAGCTGTTTTAGCGAACTTTGCGTATAGTTAGATACGTTTTTTTCAATACATGTCAACAGTCATCATTGTCTTTGTGAAGTTTTGTAATTCTAGCTAGCTTAGTTTTGTACAAAAACATCACCCTCTCCTTTAATAAAAGCCATACAGGTTGCCACCCCCTTTCCTGTCATCGAAACTCTGACACTTAGCTAGCTAGTTACAGTGTAACGATAGAACATTATCTGAAAATGTCATTAGTGCAATGCATGAAATCAGTCTTCTTTACGAAATACATGCTGTCATGGTTGTTGATTCTAATTAATTAGGAACACTGTTTACTAGGCTAGCTACATAGATAGTAACTAACTATTAACCACTGTATAGGCTAGCTGTTAAGCAATGAAGAACCAACAAAGTATTTATTGAGTAATATTTATATGCCTCAGGTTTTCCCCAGTCAAGACCCATTGGACAGAGCAGATTTTAATGCTGTGGAATACATCAATACATTGTTTCCCACTGAGCAGGTAAGACTGGAGTCCTTCACTTAACAGAAACTAAAGTCCTTTTATGTTACACCAAGGCTCTAGTCTTGGGTATTAATTCGGAGTTCCTAAGCTATATATTTCATATGTATGTTGTTACATGATGATAAAAAGTTATAGTCTAGCAGCTGGCTGACACCAAACTCGAAGTCTTCCTGACTTCAGTCTGTAAAGGGACCCTAAAAACACGCCACTTAAATACAGCTACGAAGTGACTTTTCTTAGCAGGTTAGGTGAGCATTTTCCCTAACACTTTTCCTAACCTTAACCTAATTATCCTAACCTGCTGTGTAAGTTCTCCTAACCTGCTGCGTAAGTTCTCCTAACCTGCTTTGAAAAAGTAACTTACGGTCGTAGTTGTATTGAAGTGGCGTGTTTATAGGGAATCTCATCTGGAAAGGCTCCTTGATGTTATAGGCATGATCCATCGATTTACTGATTGAGGGGATTCGATTAAGCTGGCGTGTGTTGAACCGGGCTATGGCCTGCCACGTTACCGTGCAAAGCTGTTTAGGGAGGTGCGCCCTGCTTGTATCGAACAGACCTTTGTTTTGGTAGGCCATACACATTTTATTAAATGTTTAACAGATTAATATTTTTGAAAAGTGAGGCAAACAAGCAAACATTTTTTTGTCATGTTGTCAACAAGGCAGCATGATGCATCGTTCAGAAACATACATCTCTTTTCCATACAATATATGTTCACATTTTCTAACTATTTTTCATTGGTAAGGCATTGGTAAAGCATTTTTATCAAAAGCAATCACTTTTACAGTGGGGAGAACAAGTATTTGATACACTGCCGATTTTGCAGGTTTTCCTACTTACAAAGCATGTAGAGGTCTGTAATTTTTATCATAGTTACACTTCAACTGCGAGAGACGGAATCTAAAACACAAATCCAGAAAATCACATTGTATGATTTTTAAGTAATTAATTTGCATTTTATTGCATGACATAAGTATTTGATACATCAGAAAAGCAGAACTTAATATTTGGTACAGAAACCTTTGTTGGCAATTACAGAGATCATGTGTTTCCTGTAGGTCTTGACCAGGTTTGCACACACTGCAGCAGGGATTTTGGCCATACAGACCTTCTCCAGATCCTACAGGTTTCGGGACTTTCAGCTCCCTCCAAAGATTTTCTATTGGGTTCAGGTCTGGAGACTGGCTAGGCCACTCCAGGACCTTGAGATGCTTCTTACAGAGCCACTCCTTAGTTGCCCTGGCTGTATGTTTCAGGTCGTTGTCATGCTGGAAGACCCAGCCATGACCCATCTTCAATGCTCTTACTGAGGGAAGGAGGTTGTTGGCCAAAATCTCGCGATACATGGCCCCATCCATCCTCCCCTCAATACGGTGCAGTCGTCCTGTCCCCTTTGCAGAAAAGCATCCCCAAAGAATGACGTTTCCACCTCTATGATTCACGGTTGGGATGGTGTTCTTGGGGTTGTACTCATCCTTCTTCTTCCTCCAAACACGGCGAGTGGAGTTTAGACCAAAAAGCTCTATTTTTGTCTCATCAGACCACATGACCTTCTCCCATTCCTCTTCTGGATCATCCAGATGGTCATTGACAAACTTCAGACGGGCCTGGACATGCGCTGGCTTGAGCAGGGGGACCTTGCGTGCGCTGCAGGATTTTAATTCATGACGGCCTAGTGTGTTACTAATGGTTTTCTTTGAGACTGTGGTCCCAGCTCTCTTCAGGTCATTGACCAGGTCCTGCCGTGTAGTTCTGGGCTGCTCCCTCACCTTCCTCATGATCATTGATGCCCCACGAGGTGAGATCTTGCATGGAGCCCCAGACCGAGGGTGATTGACCGTCATCTTGAACTTGGGGAACCATTTTCTAATAATTGCGCCAACAGTTGTTGCCTTCTCACCAAGCTGCTTGCCTATTGTCCTGTAGCCCATCCCAGCCTTGTGCAGGTCTACAATTTTATCCCTGATGTCCTTACACAGCTCTCTGGTCTTGGCCATAGTGGAGAGGTTGGAGTCTGTTTGAGTGTGTGGACAGGTGTCTTTTATACAGGTAACAAGTTCAAACAGGTGCAGTTAATACAGGTAATGAGTGGAGAACAGGAGGGCTTCTTAAAGAAAAACGAACAGGTCTGTGAGAGCCGGAATTCTTACTGGTTGGTATGTGATCAAATACTTATGTCATGCAATAAAATGCAAATGAATTACTTAAAAATCATACAATGTGATTTTTCTGGATTTTTGTTTTAGATTCCGTCTCTCACAGTTGAAGTGTACCTATGATAAAAATTACAGACCTCTACATGCTTTGTAAGTAGGAAAACCTGCAAAATCGGCAGTGTATCAAATACTTGTTCTCCCCACTGTACATGTGAAAACACAGAATCCTACTCATTACGCCACATGCTTAACCTATGTCACTTTTGTTTTGAGCCGACTTCGCCGTCGGCCAGAATGAGACACCTGGCTGATGCCCGGGAGCCAGCCCAGTTCCAAACCGAATGCAATCAACGCTAACCCAGTTCACCCATGGCATGCCCGGGGTATTAATCAAATCCCCTCATTTGTTCTCTTCTGTGTCTTTCTCACTAAAACAGCCACATCGGCCACACACAGCCCCGATCGCCGACCCCTTCCAATACAACCGTTGAATTTTCAAATCCAAACAATGATAGATAAAACACAAATATATTGTCAGATACACCGGATAGGTGCAGTGCATTGTGTTCTTTTCACCCCCCCCCCCCAGGGAAAATCCTCCAGGTCTCAACCCCCCTAGGGGGAAAAAAACTTTTGCGAGAACCAATCAAGGTTCAAACAAATTCTTGTGTGAATATGGCACCAACAAACTGACTTCTGTGCACAGGCCAGTGTCACAGCTGTCCCTCGCTATGGACCACGTGAGTCTCGTCAGCCAGGCTTAAAAGGCCATACAAATGTAAAAATCTGAAAAATTGCACGATCATAGCAAAGATAATGTCCTCAAGCTACCAGTAAAGAGATACACAACTTCCTCTTTGATTATGGCTGAACTATCTCTTTTAGCCTCCCCACGATGCTAAAATCTCTTGATTAGGTCGCTAAGTGTCGAAATAACGATGCTATAGTATTTTTAAAAAGTGTCTACTTATTTTTCTTTTGTTGCTTGCTCAGCACACTTTTCAAAAAATGAAATTCATTAAACATTTAGTAAAATGTGTATGGCCTAGCAAAACAAAGGTCTGATTGATCTAGTCGAAAGTAATTATCATGTTGACATGCCCACTAGATGGTGCTGCCTGCGTACCTTTGTAACATTAGAAAAGGATCCTTCATCATCCAAATCAGTCCATACAACTTGGTTTTGTGTGGGGAGTAGATTTTGGTCAATTCATAATCATGATACCCCTGTGTTTCCTCATAGTCACTGGCTAATATAGATGATGTGGTCAACAAGATCCGTCTGAAGATTCGGTGAGTGACCTCACGTTGTAGTGTTTTGGTTGAAGTTTTTTTTAGATGAGTTTGACATATTATTATTGTTTGTGTGTGTGTGTTTCAGGCGTCTGGATGACAACATCAGGACGGTGGTGAGAGGCCAGACCAACGTGGGCCAGGATGGCAGACAGGTGAGGGAGGGGAACCTGTTGTTCTTGGTTAATTTTCCTAGAAACTGCACCTGACTCTGTGTAAATATTTAGGTTGTTGGTTGTTATTGATGAGCTAATTAAGAACTAAGTTGTGTGCATGTGTCAGCGCATGTGTGCATGTTTGGAAGGGGGGTGGGGGTAATGTGTGTGTGTGGCAGTGTTTTGTTATGCTTGGCTTTAAGCACTGGGCTCAGCGACAGCATGCTTTGACAGATGAATAGCAGTAGCAGCTTACTGTGAGACCCAGTAGGGCCTTTTGGTGGAGAGAGCGAGACAGGCAGCCAGCCAGTCAGTCTACACTGGCGGGCCCCCACAGAGGGTTGACTTTGGGGCAACAAGACTGTAGCATGTTGCTGCTGCCTCAGTCTCACACTGACTGTACCACACCTGCTGTTTCTCACATGCCATCGCGCGCACACACACACACACACACACACACACATCACCCCTCCAACAGACTGGTGAATTGAGATGATGTTTTGCAACCTTTTCCCCAGGATTACTCCTCCTAACCCGGACCAATATGTCGGTGCTCCTTTTTCTGTTTTTCTGTCTTCACTAATGCCATGGAAAAGGACAGGATGAGTCAGAACCATCTCATTCCCTACTGTTAGAACTACTGCTGTCTTAAAGGAAAAGATTACCCTTCATTATTCAGGGATTACATTTGGACCTGTGGTTTGGTGTCCCGCCGTTTCTCGTCTGAGAGCATCGGGAAAAACCCTTGATTTAACGCAGACTCTCGCTCTGTCAGGGAACTGTGGTTTTGAGGGGAACGTGACACCTGATGGGGGAGCTGTTTCTGTGTGTGTGTGTGTGTGTGTGTTGTTGTTGTTGTTGTTGTTGCATGTTTCTGGGATGGTGGTCCGGTCCTGCTCTGTTACCACTGAATTATCGGAAGTGTTCTGGACAGAATCCACTAACACATTGGGGTTGGTAGGCACGGCAAGCATACTGTACTGTACCGTTGGGTTTCTGGTCTGGTGGTCTCGTAGCTGAGGCCCACTGAACCATCCACATCTCCCACAGAGCTGAGGGAAAATCCTATCTGGAGACAGAAATGTGGAGAGGTGTTCATTACAGCCAGAGATGGAAACTGAGAGAAGAGAGCAAGAGAAAATGACTTAAAAAGTCGTTGGGTTGGGGCCACTTGATTTAGCTCACCTGGGGCACTAGTTTGGTAGAGTGTGTCCGAAGGTGCCAAATCCACTTCTTAATTGAGCGCTAGGATTTCCCTTGTATTTAGTCTGTAGGGGCAACAGACTGGCAGTGATCAGCAGAGCAGGGTGGGGATGGAGATGTCTGCTTCAGATACCCAGGCCCAGTCCCCAAGGAAGGGGTGGATGGAATCAGAATGCCAGGGATATTTGTAGCAGATGGGGGAATTTGGGTGTATGTAGGTGGGGGTGGGTGCATATGAGTCTTAGAGCTAGGAGGGGGCTCTTTTGATGTTGTTGTTTATGATTTGAATGAATTACACGCACACACACATTTCATTCCATTCAGTCTCTTCTTTCTTGTCTAAGCAGTTCTGACTGGTTTGTTGTTGTTAGCCAGCTCTTCTACTAAGCATCTGTCAAAAGCAGCTACAAGTGGTTTGTCTGTCCAGCCCATCATCATGGTAACATGGACCAGAAGGCCAAACATGTCTCACTCTGGCTCACTGCAGTTTAAACTGCCTGAATCCCAAGTAAACTCTAGTTGCTTCCATTCCTCCCCATTCTTTTTAGTCTTTACAGTCTCACAGTAAACCATTTATATGTGATTAATAAGTCGCTCTCAGACATACTGTTGTTCTCCTGATTATAAAACTTTGCAGCCAAAATAAAAATAGTAACTATTTCTTCCCTGAGGAAATTGATTCATTGTTCTCAACAAGCTTATTGTGGGTGCATGGAGTCAGTATGGGAGAGTGAGTGGCGGAGGCTCTGTGTTGGGGGAGGGTGGGGCGCTTGCATAGCTCAGTCACCATAGCCATTATTCAGCTATGAACCGTACCTTTCCCATGTGCAGCTGGATGTCCCCACATGGTCAGTTCAGCTGTGGAGCTTTATGGTCATCAATGAGGCAGCGGGTGGGGATCCGGCCGGCCTGCATGTGGATGGGTTATAGCTATTGTGTGTGTGTGCTCATGCCTGCGGATGTCATGTGTGCGCATACAGATGTCTTACGTGTGTGTGTTGCAGATTTCTTACTGTAGCTCCTGGCATCTGGATGTACTTATTAGGAACACTGAGACGGAATGGGAACCTCCTTGAGAAGCAAACATAACATACATGTTTAATCTAAACTCAGGAAGGGAAGTTTACTGCTTCAAGTTGGGTTCTCTGCTCTTTTATCTGCTGTGTATCCCTTCCTGTCTTTTCTTTGTCTCTCACCTTATTGTCTACTTACATGGAAATTCATTTTGTGACCTCCGCATACAAACACAACACTATATATTACATGCAGTATGGAAAACTCTTGATTACTCTCTTCCTCTCTCTCTCTCTTTCTTTCCCTCTCTCATTTTTTGTTTGATGTTCGTCTCAGTTGATGTGTTGCCGTTGCCTTTTCCTCAAAACAAAATGAACATATCCTTTAACACTGGGTTAATGTGATGGTTACCATGTAATTTGGACACATGAGTGACCCACCCAACCACAGAAATAGAATGACTAGAATGGACATGCCCAAACAAATCAAGCATCCAGCTGTTTATACTGGATTCTCAATGGCTTTGCCTTCTCCTGTAATATACCAGAACATATTTCTGTCCCTGTTATTATGGAGTACTTTGTGCAGAGAATAGGCTACCTCATGTGGCCTGTTTGATTTATAAACAAATGTGTGTGATTGTTCAGTCTGATAAGAGCTTGGTACATATGAAGAATGCCTCGTATGCTGTTTATTGCATGTTCAAAAAGTCTTCATTCACTATGTACAACCTAGGCCTAAACTACAGGGTCTATGGATAGGAGGAATGCGTGACTTGTCATTGTGGGGTACATCCACAGCTCTTCATATCTGTCAGTGGAATGAAACCCCCCCTCTAACCGCCCCTGCCTTCCCCTCCTCCTCCAAAAATCCCCAAATGGAGTCCACATGTGTGGCAGGCAGTGCTCTATTTCTGCAGGGTTGAAATGTGGCCTGTCCCCGTCTGGGACTGGGTTGGAACAGGGGATGGATGTGGGCGTAGTAGAGAGAGATAGCGATCTCAGCCAGGCAGAAGTGTGCTGGGCTGCGGTCTCCCCACTCCCTTCCCAATGCTCAGACGCTTGGGCGATTAGGCTAAATGCAGGAAATTAACGAGGAGAGGGGCCAGACATGCTGGCTCACCGAGCAGCTTCTCCAGTCTAATTCTTTATCAGGGTCTTCAGGCTATGGGCAATACTCGGCATGTGTGTAGGTTATGTGTGTGTTCTTGGTATTGGTTGTTTGATTGGGCCTCAGGCTGTTAAGAATGAGGGGCTTTGGAATTAGTATTCTGTTGGATTCTTAAGGTGGTTAGAGATAGTTTGTCTCTAGGGGCCTGTTTGAATCAAAAGAACATCCTCCCTCCCTCCCTCCCTGAGGTAATCACAGACCTGAGAGGGTTGGATTGGTGAAAAAAGTTATGGTTGAGACCTTGCTTTCACTTATTCAATCAGGTATAGATCAGTCAATGGTAAGCTCAAGGAAGTGAGGCGGAAAGGAAGCATTTTGTAAAGTATTCAAAGTATGTTGATGGTCCTGGCCAGTAGCAACCCTCAACAGGTCATGATCGACCAAGGTTCTCAGCTTCCTGCCCCTGACTTTCCTATATTTTTCCTGGTAACAGATAGACTACATGGTTACTATCAGAGCCTGCCCTGCATGCCCACTCGTTTAACTGAGAGGTGTGTCCACACCCAGGAAGTCTGCCTGTGACCTTGAGTCTGGCTCTGTGACCCTGTCATCATGCTAGGCCTCTAAACAGAAGAGATGCTGCTTCCTGCAGAGACTAAAAGGAATCCACCGCTGTCAACAACGCAGATTGTGTGTGAGAGTGTATGAGTAAGAGAGCGTGTGTGTGTGTGTGTGTTTGCCCTGTCTATCCACTTGTGTTTTTGAAGAGCCTTGTAAAAGTGGTACATTCCTTGGGCAGCTGGTGCCGGCTGTTAGGATTCCATCTGTGTGAGAGGGAGAGGAGAGCCCCCCCACACGCACACACAGACACTCCACGCTGGGACCAGTGTTGGGACCAGCTACCCCCAATTACCCTGGCATCGGATGGCAGTGCCAAAGCCCAGCTGAGTGGCCTAAAAACATTAGATAGCAATTAGTTTACTTATTTGTGAAAGAAGCACCACTCTGCTCACCTCCACCCTGATTGTTCCAATAATTAGTGGCCAAACACTAGTCACTAGGCCTACATTTTGAGAGGGTTGGAGATACATACACTGCTCAAAAAAATAAAGGGAACACTAAAATAACACATCCTAGATCTGAATGAATGAAATAATCTTATTAAATACTTTTTTCTTTACATAGTTGAATGTGCTGACAACAAAATCACACAAATGATCAATGGAAATCAAATGTATCAACCCATGGAGGTCTGGATTTGGAGTCACACTCAAAATTAAAGTGGAAAACCACACTACAGGGTGATCCAACTTTGATGTAATGTCCTTAAAACAAGTGAAAATGAGGCTCAGTAGTGTGTGTGGCCTCCACGTGCCTGTATGACCTCCCTACAACGCCTGGGCATGCTCCTGATGAGGTGGCGGATGGTCTCCTGAGGGATCTCCTCCCAGACCTGGACTAAAGCATCCGCCAACTCCTGGACAGTCTGTGGTGCAACGTGGCGTTGGTGGATGGAGCGAGACATGATGTCCCAGATGTGCTCAATTGGATTCAGGTCTGGGGAACGGGCGGGCCAGTCCATAGCATCAATGCCTTCCTCTTGCAGGAACTGCTGACACACTCCAGCCACATGAGGTCTAGCATTGTCTTGCATTAGGAGGAACCCAGGGCCAACCGCACCAGCATATGGTCTCACAAGGGGTCTGAGGATCTCATCTCGGTACCTAATGGCGGTCAGGCTACCTCTGGCGAGCACATGGAGGGCTGTGCCACCCCACACCATGACTGACCCACCGCCAAACCGGTCATGCTGGAGGATGTTGCAGGCAGCAGAACGTTCTCCACGGCGTCTCCAGACTCTGTCACGTCTGTCACGTGCTCAGTGTGAACCTGCTTTCATCTGTGAAGAGCACATGGCGCCAGTGGCGAATTTGCCAATCTTGGTGTTCTCTGGCAAATGCCAAACGTCCTGCACGGTGTTGGGCTGTAAACACAAACCCAACCTGTGGACGTCGGGCCCTCATACCACCCTCATGGAGTCTGTTTCTGACTGTTTGAGCAGACACATGCACATTTGTGGCCTGCTGGAGGTCATTTTGCAGGGCTCTGGCAGTGCTCCTCCTGCTCCTCCTTGCACAAAGGCGGAGGTAGCAGTCCTGCTGCTGGGTTGTTGCCCTCCTACGGCCTCCTCCACGTCTCCTGATGTACTGGCCTGTCTCCTGGTAGCGCCTCCATGCTCTGGACACTACGCTGACAGACACAGCAAACCTTCTTGCCACAGCTCGCATTGATGTGCCATCCTGGATGAGCTGCACTACCTGAGCCACTTGTGTGGGTTGTAGACTCCGTCTCATGCTACCACTAGAGTGAAAGCACCGCCAGCATTCAATAGTGACCAAAACATCAGCCAGGAAGCATAGAAACTGAGAAGTGGTCTGTGGTCACCACCAGAAAACCAGTCCTTTATTGGGGGTGTCTTGCTAATTGCCTATAATTTCCACCTGTTGTCTATTCCATTTGCACAACAGCATGTGAAATTTATTGTCAATCAGTGTTGCTTCCTAAGTGGACAGTTTGATTTCACAGAAGTGTGATTGACTTGGAGTTACATTGTGTTGTTTAAGTGTTCCCTTTATTTTTTTGAGCAGTGTATTTTGACCAGAGTTGCACTTTTTTTGACATTTTGCTTGACACCCCTCTCTGATGGGTCTCATTGATGCTGTCATAAGCGATGTTATAACGCATGTCATGAGCAGGTCCTCTGGCTATTCCACTAGCCAGTCAGTCAGTCTATAACATGGGTTGTTGGGGTTCAAATGCATGGCTATTGGGTTGGGAATGGGTAGTAGGATATCTCTCTCTGTGTGCAGCTGCTGGCAGTAGGGAGAGACCGCTCTTCTTACCGACTGGAATGTGAGAGCAAACTGTGGGAGAGGTTTCTCATCCCCACGCCGTTCCTTCTGGTTTCTCATCATGCCATTTTGTTTGGTTTTCCATCCCCCTGCTGAGGCGCCTATAAATACGACCTGACGAGGAAGAGAGGAGAATAGCATGACTCCAGAATGTCCCTGGTTCTTCCTACTAAACAATATATAGTGATGGGGTTGATTAGCCTGTAATCTAGAAACCCAGAGCCAAATTCTTGCGTGAACACCAGCCTCTAAATAGCCTGGTCCCAGGTCTATTTTTCTGTCTTGCCAACTCCTATGGCCATTGTCACGCCAAACAAACAGATCCGGGACAAGGCTAGGGGATGATAGAGAAGTTGAAAGTAATCCTTCTTGGCCTTAGTGCTAGATGTCAACTACATCCCACTCAATGTCTAAAGAGATGTCTGCCAGAAAGTAAACTTGTTTAGAGAGTGCTGGTACCTACATTATCTCTTTTCAAACCTGTCTCTCCTGTCTCTTCTTTCTCTCTCTCCCTCCCAGGCACTGGAGGAGGCCCAGGTAGCCATCGGCCAGCTCTTTGGCAAAATCAAAGACATTAAGGACAAGGCTGAGAAATCTGAGCAAATGGTGAGTAAACAAACAAAACACAGCCAGACTCCCCCACAGGAGCCATCTTGTCTACCCTGTCTAAAGCTTGAGGGTGCCCCTGTTTGTTTGTGTGTGTATGACTGAGGGTGCCCCCTGGGGGACTCTGACATCCTGTAGAGACATACACTGTGCTGGTATTATAAGTGGAGGTAATGCACCTGCTGTGTGTGGGTTGGTTCTTCTATCCTTGTGCGGACCTAAAGTCCGATAGTAAAACAAGGAGAATTCTCCCTCTGAGGACAAAGGCTATTTTAAGCTTAGGGTTAAGAGGTTTTGGGTTTGGGTTAAGGTTAGGGTTAGGGAAAATAGGATTTTGAATGGAAATGTATTTTAGGTCCCCATGAGGATAGAAGAACATAATGTGCGTGCGGGGGGGGGGGGGGGGGGGGGTGTCACAGGAAGGCTGCTGGGCTGGGTGGATAAAGAGGGAGAGAGGAACAATGGAGAGGAACCCCTCCCTCAATGGGTATGTTGTAGCAATTATGTCTCAACTCAAACAGGTGTCTTATTACTCTTTCTCTTCCATCTCCCCTCCTCGCCCCCCCCCCTTCTGTCTGTCTCTCTCTCTCGCTGTCTCTCTCTCTTCTCTTCTCTCTCTCACTTTCTCGCTTTCTCTCGCTCTCTCGCTTTCTTTCTCTCTCTCTCTCTCTCTCTCTCTCTCGCTGTCTCTCTCTCTCTTCTCTTCTCTCTCTCGCTTTCTTTCCCTCTCTCTCTCCTCTCTCTCACCCCTCGTCTCCGTCTCTCTCACCCGTCTGCCCTCCCTCTCTCCCCCCTTCTATCTCCTTTCTCTGTCCCTTCATCCTCTCTCTCCCTCCTCTCTGCTCCTCACACTCTCTTCCTGGTCTCTCTCCCTCCTCTCCGCTCCTCACGCTCTCTTCCTGGTCTCTCTCCCTCCTCTCCGCTCCTCACTCTCTCCCACCCACCCACCCACCGCTCCCTCTTTCTCTATCTCTCAGGTCAAGGAGATAACGCGGGACATCAAACAGCTGGACCATGCTAAGCGTCACCTGACCACCTCCATCACCACCCTCAACCACCTGCACATGCTGGCTGGGGGCGTGGACTCTCTAGAGTGGGTACTCACAGTGCCACCTATGGGCGTGGAGGAGAGGGTAAACTGTGGGCCGCAACCCATAGTTTGAAAAGCACCAATCTAGAAGTATACAGGGATTAATCCTAAATGAAATACTTGTGGGCGACTCAGACTTTCTTGTAATACATGCATTGATGTCAATGGAAGATTTGTGTGAAAATGTAGCTCTGTATGTGCATCTCGAGTTAGGAGTTGGCAAATAGAAAGGAATACAAAAGATAATTGGAAACCTTTGTGCACTGTTAATGCCTCAAGCCAAGGTGCTGGGTTTGGCACATATACCATTGACTACATGCCCCGTGTAGCTCAGTTGGTAGAGCATAGCGCTTGCAACACCAGGGTTGTGGGTTCGTTTCCCACGGGGGGACAGTATGAAAAAATGAATGCACTCACTAACTGTAAGTCGCTCTGGATAAGAGCGTCTGCTAAATGACTTAAATGTAAATGTTGAAGTGGCTACTTGTATGTGTAGCCACTAGACAGAACTCTAAGCTAGAACTGCAGGTGATGTGTTCTGTGTGTGTCCCAGGGCCATGACGAGGAAGAGGCAGTATGGAGAGGTGGCTAACCTGCTACAGGGGGTGGTCAACGTGCTGGAACACTTCCACAAATACATGGGCATCCCTCAGATCAGACAGCTCTCAGAGAGGTAACCATACACGCACGCAAATGCACACACCCACGCACATGCACACACACACAATGCTCAAACACGGGCAACACATTCCCTTTCTGAACTGACCATAACTCTGTACCAGTAATACTGTACGGAAACACTCAGTATTTCAAACAAACACAGCTCCAACTTGCAAACCAACCACTGCATGCATGCCTCATACTGTATTTCCCAGTGACCTCAATTTTCCTGTCATTATTGTATTCATTCCTAACTCCAGTTTTTTTTCTTGGTGCTCTCCTAAACTGTAGAGGCTGAAGCCAGCCCAGGCCTGTAGAGCCCAGAGGTATTCTGTTGTGCTCATCAGAATCAGATCCTGTTTTATATTTACTGAGGAGAGGAGGCTGCAGAAATACACAGGAAAGAAATGTACTGAATAGGAACTCCTTTATGCAGACATTTTTTTCCACTGAGGGCTCGGGCTGTGCTTTCCTCCGGCTGGGTGTGTTTGAGAGAGTGTCTTTGTGTGTGTGTGTGTGTGTGTGTGTGTGTGTGTGTGTGTGTGTGTGTGTGTGTGTGTGTGTGTGTGTGTGTGTGTGTGTGTGTGTGTGTGTGTGTGTGTGTGTGTGTGTGTGTGTGCCAGAGAGGAAAAGTGTGTTTGAGAGAGTGAGAGTGTTTCTGTGTGTGTGTGTATGCGTGTGTGGTCTTGTGTGTGTGATTGAAAAAGTAGGCCTTTGTCCTCCCTCTTCTTTCCCCTTCACAGGAACAGTTCTGGGGTGTGTTAAGCACTAGTCCAGACCCATACCAGAGTAAGGTCTGTGATCAGCCCTCAACCCAGCTAGTCCCTGTGTCTCTCTGGCCGGGGGAGCTAGCTAGGCTATCTGCTCTGTTTGCTTTGGAGTGGATGATAAAAACAAGAATTTAGGAGAGTAAGGAAGTGTGTTTGTGTGTGTGTGTGTGGGAGGGGTCATTTAATGTTTTTTTCTTCCATAAACTTTTATGTTTATCCAGACTTGTGTGTGTGTTTCCAATGTCCATCAAAGCCACCCACACACTCTCTGACCACACTGCTTTGTTATCTGGAAAAGGGTAAATGGGAAATACGGAACACAGAGTCTTCAGAAGAAATTGACAAACATACGGATGGATGACCAGACAGAGGGACAGCTGTAGCGTGGGTCTGACTGATTGTCAGGTGCATCTGCAGGGCACTGCCTTCCCTGTGGCATGGCATCCATCTTGTTTTATTCTGGAAGGTCTTCTTGTTGCTCTAGGATTGGACTCAAAATGCCCCACCAGATTCACTCTTCACATTAGGCCAGTGGTTCTAGTTCTCACCATGGAACTATGTGCTGTACTGTGTGACCCAATAAACACTTCTGGAATTTCTCTGACCCAATGAGTAAACAAAACCACTGGACCAAGTCATGCCAGTTTTGCCACAGCCCGAAACCAGTCAGTCACAACTTACCAGTGGGTCCCTGTCAACCTAGCTACCATTTGGGAAACCATTTCATTATGAAAATATCTACTGTTATGCTACACCAGCTCTAAACCCAGCTCCAGCTTTCATGATCAATGTTTTCTCAATGTTTCTCCACTGTTTGTGTTATCCACAGGGTGAAAGCGGCCCAAAGCGAGCTGGGGACTCAGATCCTTGCAGACTTCGAAGAGGCCTTCCCCACACAGGGGTCAAAGGTGAACTATGAATGCCTTGTGTGCTGTCATATGTGCTCCATTAAACAATTGTATGTGTATATGTATGACTATACATTATATAATGTATTTAATGTATTTTTTAATTGTATGTGTGTTAACCCAAGGTATTTTGTGTGTGTACTCTATATCCCCAGAGGGCAGGGGGACCCAGTAATGTTCTGAGGGATGCCTGTCTGGTGGCCAACGTCTTGGACCCTCGCATCAAACAGGAGATCATCAAGAAGTTCATCAGACAGCACCTCTCTGAGTACATGGTGCTCTTCCAGGAGAACCAGGATGTAAGTTTGTTTATTGTACTGCTAAGCATTAAAGTAGAACTGACAGCGTTTTAGCAACAAAATCTTATTAAAATCTGTTCATGTACACCCCCAGGAAGAATTTAATTTTCTGACCAGCGAGCACTTAGATATGGTCATTTTCACGTTTTCATAAATTAATAGAATGTTTGGGAATGACGTATAGAAAGGCATTTGTGAAAATTCTATAGAAATACAGTTGAAGTCGGAAGTTTACATACACCTTAGCCAAATACATTTAAACTCAGTTTTTCACAATTCCTGACATTTAATCCTAGTAAAAATTCCCTGTCTTAGGTCAGTTAGGATCACCACTTTATTTTAAGAATGTGAAATGTCAGAATAATAGTAGAGAATGATTTATTTCAGCTTGTATTTCTTTCAGCACATTCCCAGTGGATTAGAAGTTTATATACACTCAATTAGTATTTGGTAGCATTGCCTTTAAATTGTTTAACTTGGGTCAAACGTTTCGGTTAGCCTTCCACAAGCTTCCTACATTAAGTTGGGTGAATTTTGGCCCATTCCTCCTGACAGAGCTGGTGTAACTGAGTCAGGTTTGTAGGCCTCCTTGCTCGTACACGCTTTTTCAGTTCTGCCCACACATTTTCTCTATGATTGAGGTCAGGGCTTTGTGATGGCCACTCCAATACCTTTACTTTGTTGTCCTTAAGCCATTTTGCCACAACTTTGGAAGTATGCTTGGGGTCATTGTCCTTTTGGAAGACCATTTGCGACCAAGCTTTAACTTCCTGACTGATGTCTTGAGATGTTGCTTCAATATATCCACATCATTTTCCTTCCTCATGATGCCATCTATTTTGTGAAGTGCACCAGTCTCTCCTGCAGCAAAGCACCCCCACAGCATGATGCTGCCACCCCCATGCTTCACGGTTGGGATGGTGTTCTTCGGCTTGCAAGCACCCCCCTTTTCCTCCAAACATAACGATGGTCATTATGGCCAAACAGTTCTATTTTGGTTTCATCAGACCAGAGGACATTTCTCCAAAAAGCACGATCTTTGTCCCTATGTGCAGTTGCAAACCATAGTCTGGTTTTTTTATGGCGGTTTTGGAGCAGTGGCTTCTTCCTTGCTGAGCGGCCTTTCAGGTTATGTCGATATAGGACTCGTTTTACTGTGGATATAGATAATTTTGTACCTGTTTCCTCCAGCATCTTCACAAGGTCCTTTGCTGTTATTCTGGGATTGATTTGCACTTTTCGCACCAAAGTACGTTCATCTCTAGGAGACAGAACGCGTCTCCTTCGTGAGCGGTATGACAGCTGCGTGGTCCCATGGTGTTGATACTTGCGTACTATTGTTTGTACAGATGAATGTGGTACCTTCAGGCGTTTGGAAATTGCTCCCAAGGATGAACCAGACTTGTGGAGGTCTACAATTTCTCTTCTGAGGTCTTGGCTGATTTCTTTTGATTTTCCCATGATGTCAAGCAAAGAGGCACTGAGTTTGAAGGTAGGCCTTGAAATACATCCACAGATACACCTCCAATTGACTCGAATTATGTCAATTAGCCTATCAGAAGCTTCTAAAGCCATGACATCATTTTCTGGAATTTTCCGAGCTGTTTAAAGGCACAGTCAACTTAGTGTATGTAAACTTCTGACCCACTGGAATTGTGATACAGTGAATTATAAGTGAAATAATCTGTCTGTAAACAATTGTTGGAAAAATTACTTGTGTCATGCACAAAGTAAATGTCCTAACTGACTTGCCAAAATTACGGTTTGTCAACAAGAAATTTGTGGAGTGGTTGAAAAACGAGTTTTAATAACTCCAACCTAAGTGTATGTAAACTTCCGACTTCAACTGTATAGAGTGGAAAAGCGGCCGTGCGTTTGGACAATTAATAGACACTGCAGTAAATAAAACCTAATAAAAACATCGGTCTTGTCCATGACCGGAGTCTATGCATAACGGTGCGCCATAGCCAATCAGAGCTACAGTAGGCCTATATGCAAATAAGCCATTTGCCACATGGGCCTGACATTCACTTTGAACTGGACTGTGTGTTTACAGGGTGTAGCAACAGCGCAACTTCAGATCATTAGAACGCATTTGCCAAAAGCAACAAAATACACCTGAATAGATTTCTGCAAATGTGTAAATACCATGGGTGTCCTCTTATATTAGGGAACTTCACACATCCTATTGATCAAACAACCACGAAAAGGTAGGCTATCTCTACCTCAGTTGCCTATGCACATCAACAAGATCAACAACTAATGCTAGCCAGAGCGAGATGAGCTAAAATCTAATGAGGGAACATTAGGTAAACCTTCTCAAACTTTTTAGCTAGTTGGCTGTCAAAATTGCACTGATTAACATTTACATTTACATTTTAGTCATTTAGCAGACGCTCTTATCCAGAGCGACTTACAGTTAGTGAGTGCATACATTTTCCATACAATTAACACTGTTTGTACAGTACTTATGCATTTAAAATGATTTATCTTCTGACAAACTTTTAAAATATGAATGCATCATTTTCATGCATAGCATTTGCTGCATGACAAAATAACTGAAACGTACAGTGGCTTATATCACATTAACGTTCAGGTAAAAAAATTTATGTCATCCATTCAGAATAAAAAACTAATATTTACACATCCCCACCTGAGAGTTTGAGCAGTTTCGTTGTTCCAGGTAGGTTCTATTTCAGTAGTACGCATACTGATCATAACCTCGATGGGGAATAGTACCCTGCTCATCCTTCTGCAGCTTGCCTGCCAATGCATGCTTTTTCCAACTCACGTTTTGACAACTGATTGGGAACTTGAGAGATCTTTGATGAAAACCTGCTCCAGAGTGCTCAGGACCTCAGACTGGGGCGACGGTTCAACTTCCTACAGGATAATGACCCTAAGCACACAGCCAAGACAATGCATGATTGGCTTCGGGACAGGTCTCTGAATGTCCTTGAGTGGCCCAGCCAGAGCCCGGACTTGAACTCGATCGAACATCTCTGGAGAGACCTGAAAATAGCTGCGCAGCGACGCTCCCCATCAACCTGACACCTGAGCTTGAGAGGATCTGCAGAGAAGAATGGGAGAAAGTCCCCAAATACAGGTGTGCCAAGCTTGTAGCGTCATACCCAGGAAGACCCGAGGTTGTAATCTGCCAAAGGTGCTTCAACAAAGTACTGAGGAAAGGGTCTGAATACTTATGTAAATGTGATATTTCCTGTTTGCTTTGACCTTATGGGGTATTGTGTGTAGATTGATGAGGGGAAAATAACAATTTAATCAATTTTAGAATAAGGCTGTAACGTAACAAAATGTGGAAAAAGTCAAGGGGTCTGAATACTTTCCCAATGCACTATAGATGACGCAATTATTGACTCATTTATACTCGCTTGTGTGTCCTATTGGGCCCTCGGGCCTTGTTTGACACGTGCGCTAGCCTATTAGCCACGTTATGACTGACTTGTGATCATTTCCCTTGCTAATTTGAATGTATTGACATTCCCAGCCTTAGTTACAGTCGTCCGTTTTTGTTGAAGATACTGTAGATTATGGTCATTTTTGTTGTTGTTTTTTTACATCCCAGTATTTCTTCCTTTGTAGATCATGTGAATCATGATTGAGATGTACATTGACTGATCTTTAATAATGCTAGTGTTGTGACAGTATGTGGACCACCCACCTGTAAGTGTGTATGTCCACTGGCCTGACTCAGGTAGCTTGGCTGGATAAGATTGACCGGCGCTACGCCTGGATTAAGCGTCAGCTAGTGGATTATGAGGAGAAGTACGGACGCATGTTCCCTGAAGAGTGGTGTATGACCGAACGCATCGCTGTGGAGTTCTGCCACATCACCAGGTACACACACACACACACACACACACACACACACACACACACACACACACACACACACACACACACACACACACACACACACACACACACTCTGTGCTGGAAACTGTTGAGACAGCCAGTGCCTCACTGTCAACACATTCTATCAACTGTTGTAATAGTTGTGCTCCTCTATCATCCCCTAATAAAAAGTATGAGCTGGAGCACACCCAGATACAATTATTTTGTGTGGCGGAGCTGATTAACGGCTAATAAAATGTAAGCTATCAAAAATAAATAAAGAGAGTCGCACACTCTATATATACACAGTACCAGTTAAAAGTTTGGACACACCTACTCATTCCAGGGTTTTTCTTTAATTTTACTATTTTCTACATTGTAAAATAATAGTGAAGACATCGAAACTATGAAAGAACACATATGGAATCATGTAGTAACCAAAAAAGTGTTAAACAAATCAAAATAGATTTTATATTTGAGGTTCTTCAAAGTAGCCACCCTTTGCCTTGATGACAGCTTTGCACACTCTTGGCATTCTCTCAACCTGCTTCATGAGGTAGTCACCTGGAATGCATTTCAATTAACAGGTGTGCCTTGTTAAAAGTTAATTTGTGGAATTTCTTTCCTCCTTAATGCGTTTGAGCCAATCAGTTGTGTTGTGAGAAGGTTGGGGTGGGTGGGGGGGGTAGCCCTATTTGGTAAAAGACCAAGTCCATATTATGGCAAGAACAGCTCAAATAAACAAAGAGAAATGACAGTCCATCATTACTTTAAGACATGAAGGTCAGTCAATCTGGAAAATTTCAAGAACTTTGAAAGTTTCTTCAGGTGCAGTCGCAAAAACCATCAAGCGCTATGAAGAAACTGGCTCTCAATTGGACCGCCACAGGAAAGGAAGACCTAGAGTTACCTCTGCTGCAGAGGATAAGTTCATAAGAGTTAACTGCACCTCAGATTGCAGCCCAAATAAATGCTTCACGGATTTCAAGTAACAGACACATCTCAACATCAACTGTTCAGAGGAGACTGCGTGAAACAGGCCTTCATGGTGAAATTGCTGCAAAGAAACCACTACGAAAGGACACCAATAAGGAGAAGAGACTTGCTTGGGCCAAGAAACACGAGCAATGGACATTAGACCGGTGGAAATCTGTCCTTTGGTCTGATGAGTCCAAATTTGAGATTTTTGGTTCCAACCGCCATGTCTTTGTGAGACGCAGAGTAGGTGAATGGATGATCTCCGCATGTGTGGTTCCCACCGTGAAGCGTGTAGGAGGAGGTGTGATGGTGTGAGGGTGCTTTGCTGGTGACACTGTCAATTATTTATTTAGAATTCAAACACTTAACCAGCATGGCTACCACAGCATTCTGCAGCGATATGCCATCCCATCTGATTTGTGCTTAGTGGGACTATCATTTGTTTTTCAACAGGACAATGACCCAACACACCTCCTCTCCTTCAAGACTGTTGGAAAAGCATTCCAGATTAAGCTGGTTGAGAGAATGCCAAGAGTGTGCAAAGCTGTCATCAAGGCAAAGGGGGGCTATTTGAAGAATATAAAATATATTTTGATTTGTTTAACACATTTTTGTTTACTACATGACTCCATATGTGTTATTTCATAGTTTTGATGTCTTCACTATTATTCTACAATGTAGAAAATAGTAAAAATAAAGAAGAACCCTTGAATGAGTAGGTGTGTCCAAACTTTTGACTGGTAGTGTGTGTGTGTGTGTGTGTGTATATATATATATATATATATATATATATATATATATATATATATATATATATATATATATATATATATATAATTTATTTATTTATTACTGGAAGTTTATATATAAACTCAGCAAAAAAAGAAACGTCCTCTCACTGTCAACTGCGTTTATTTTCAGCAAACTTAACATGTGTAAATCCAGGCTCTGTCGTAGCCGGCTACGACCGGGAGACCCATGGGGCGGCGCACAATTGGCCCAGCGTCGTCCAGGGTAGGGGAGGGAATGACCTTCAGGGATGTAGCTCAGTTGGTAGAGCATGGCGTTTGCAACGCCGGGATTGTGGGTTCGATTCCTACAGGGGGCCAGTATGAAAAATAAAAATAAATAATGTATGCACTCACTAACTGTAAGTCGCTCTGGATAAGAGCGTCTGCTAAATGACTAAAAATGTAAATATTTGTATGAACATAACAAGATTCAACAACTGAGACATAAACTGAACAAGTTCCACAGACATGTGACTAACAGAAATTGGAATAATGTGTCCCTGAACAAAGGGGGGGTCAAAATCAAAAGTAACAGTCAGTATCTGGTGTGGCCACCAGCTGCATTAAGTACTGCAGTGCATCTCCTCCTCATGGACTGCACCAGATTTGCCAGTTCTTGCTGTGAGATGTTACCCAACTCTTCCACCAAGGCACCTGCAAGTTCCCGGATATTTCTGGCGGGAATGACCCTAGCCCTCACCCTCCGATCCAACAGGTCCCAGTCGTGCTCAATGGGATTGAGATCCGGGCTCTTCGCTGGCCATGGCAGAACACTGACATTCCTGTCTTGCATGAAATCACGCACAGAACAAGCAGTATGGCTGGTGGCATTGTCATGCTGGAGGATCATGTCAGGATGTCTTCCCTGTAACGCACAGCGTTGATACTGCCTGCAATGACAACAAGCTCAGTCTGATGATGCTGTGACACACCGCCCCAGACCATGACGGACCCTCCACCTCCAAATCGATCCCGCTCCAGAGTACAGGCCTCAGTGTAACGCTCATTCCTTCGACGATAAACGCGAATCCGACCATCACCCCTGTTGAGACAAAACCGCGACTCGTCAGTGAAGAGCAGTTTTTGCCATTCCTGTCTGGTCCAACAACTGTGGGTTTGTCCCCATAGGCGACGTTGTTGCCGGTGATGTCTGGTAAGGACCTGCCTTACAACAGACCTACAAGCCCTCAGTCCAGCCTCTCTCAGCCTATTGCGGACAGTCTGAGCACTGATGGAGGGATTGTGCGTTCCTCGTGTAACTCGGGCAGTTGTTGTTGCTATCCTGTACCTGTCCCGCAGGTGTGATGTTCGGATGTACCGATCCTGTGCAGGTGTTGTTACATGTGGTCTGCCACTGCGAGGACGATCAGCTGTCCGTCCTGTCTCCCTGTAGCGCTGTCTTAGGCGTCTCACAGTACGGACATTGCAATTTATTGCCCTGGCCACATCTGCAGTCCTCATGCCTCCTTGCAGCATGCGTAAGGCACGTTCACACAGATGAGCAGGGACCCTGGGCATCTTTCTTTTGGAGTCAGTAGAAAGGCCGCTTTAGTGTCCTAAGTTTTCATAAATGTGACCTTAATTGCCTACCGTCTGTAAGCTGTTATTGTCTTAACGACCGTTCCACAGGTGCATGTTCATTAATTGTTTATGGTTCATTGAACAAGCATGGGAAACAGTGTTTAAACCCTTTACAATGAAGATCTGTGAAGTTATTTGGATTTTTACAAATTATCTTTGAAAGACAGGGTCCTGAAAAAGGGACGTTTCTTTTTTTTCCGAGGTTATATAGGATGTGCGACTCTCTTTATTTATTTTGATAGCTCCTCTATCATCCCAACACTATTCTGTAGACAGTAGTCTTCATTAGCCTACATGAGCACTGAACTGCTATCACAATCATTCATGCTGCAATGTGACGTGTTGATGACCCTATGTGTCTGTGTGTGTGTTTTTCTGTGTCTGTGTGTCATCCAGGACGGAGCTGGCCAAAGTGATGCGGACGCGGGCCAAAGAGATTGAGGTCAAGCTTCTTCTGTTTGCCATTCAGAGGACCACCAACTTCGAGGGGCTGCTCGCCAAGCGCTTCTCTGGGTGCACCCTTACCGACTGGTCCGGGGTTAGACGCGCGCACACACACACACACACACACACACACAGCCACCCCCATCATTGGGCCGTCATTGCTGACTGTATTGTTGTTTTCAGGTGAAGAAGCCTGAGACACCACTGGAGTCCACCAACCCTTTCCTGGAGGATGAGGTTGGAGAAGACGTTTCAGAGATGGAGGAGGATCTGGATAGGGTAAGACATGTTTGAGATTACCCTTTGACCTGTCTGGACTTCGACCTTGTTAGGCATAGGCTGACCTTCTGAGGTCATTTCCTGTGTCATGGTGACTCATGATGGGAATATCTCTAGGAGGATCTCGATAGGACCTTTTTAAGGGATGACTTTGGGGGGGAAAATACTCATCCCCAAAGAGAGAAATCATGAGTAGTAACTACATCCTACATTGTTGACCATTTTCCGTTCCCCAGCCCAAGAAGCACAAGGCTCCTGACAACCCCTTCCATGGCATCATTTCCAAGTGCTTCGAGCCTCACCTCTATGTCTACATCGAGTCTCAGGACAAGTGAGTGGTGTTGTATGTGTGTGTGTGTGTGCGCGCGCTTGGAGATCTGGCACAGATTTGTGTGCCCAGAACATTTCCTTTCTCTCTCTTCCCCCCCCCCCCCCCCCTTTACTTTTTATCTTTCTCTTTCATTCCTTCTCTTGTTTCTGTGTGTTTCTTTCTGTCTCTCTCTGCTGAGGCAGAAATAGTTGCTATTAGCTGCATGACCACAGACGCTGAGAAAGAGGGATTGAAAAGTGCTGCTGCGGCAGGTCGTTCTTCTCCTTCTCTTCCTCCCTCTCTCTTTACTCCTTCTCCGCTTTGTTTCTCTCTGTCTGTCTCTCTCTTTCCTCTCCCTCCCTCCCACCCCCCCCAGACGTGGGGTCTCCCCAGAAACAAGGCACTGTTCTGGTGCTTGTCTGTCTCGCGGCGGCCCCTAGTATTGGATCTCTGGAGTGTTTAGTGCTCATCAGTCTGACTGGAGCTTACATGATCTGGCTATGGCCTCCATTCACAACAGACATGGCCAGACGATTCTACATCAGGTGTTTCCAAAGCAGCGTGTCTCAATGGAATACAACAGGAGAGAGAATAGTGACCTGATTGTTCATACAAAGTGGATTTAGTTTCTGTCCTTGGCTTCATTTCACAGTAACAGTGGGTGGGCAGGGGGTGAAGTACTAGACATTAACAGCCGTATAGACATTGAAATCAAAGGACAGTGAAGACAGCCGCAATAGAGGGAGAATCTCCTACCCTGTCTGTCTCTGCTAATTTATCATCACTGATGTGTGTGTTCGTTTAGGTGCATGTGTGGCAGGTTGGCATTTGTCATGAATATTGCTCTGGAGGCAGCTCTGCAGAGGGGTCGCTAGCTGGTACAGCCACAAAACCTAACCCTAACCACACTGCTGACCCTAATGCCAAACCCTAACCTTAAATTATTTTGACTTTGCCTAGTGTAAATCGCTCAGTTCTGCCTCCAGGGCAAGATTCATGACAATAAACGTCAAACTGCGTGTATGTACTGGGGGTCATCACTGAGCTGTGTGTGTTACTATTCTCAGGAACCTGGGGGAGATGATTGACCGTTTCGTGTCAGACTTCCGGGCGCAGGGCCCCCCCAAGGCGGGCACGGAGGACGGTGGAGCGGTGCTGCCCAGCTGTGCTGACCTGTTTGTCTACTATAAGAAGTGCATGGTGCAGTGCTCTCAGCTCAGCACAGGGGAACCTATGATTGCCCTCACCACCATCTTCCAGAAGTACCTCAGAGAGTATGCCTGGAAGATACTGTCTGGAAACCTGCCCAAGTAATTTACTACAGCCTAGCCTAATGATATGATGATCAGATTTATTTGTGATGATGTAGGTCTAGTGATTATTTAGTAAGCGTTTTTTATTAATGGCGCGCACATACTGTGTTGGGCCCTAGAACCAGCATGGCAAATTGCAGTACTTCCCAGTACGGGTTCCAGAAGGTCACTGTGTACTCTGTTTTTCATTCAAACCATTTTTTGGGTGGTTTCTGGCTTTGCTAGGAAAATATTCTGACACAGGTGGCACTATGACAACCAGTATGAACTGTGGCCTACTAGGAGCTGGACTGGGACAAATGCTTCTGTCAAAGCAAGATTCAAATTCTTATGGATGATATATGCTTCAATTCCCTTTTGATGAAGGAATCTGCCAAAGTTTGTTAATTCAGAAGAGTGATCCGTCATTCTCCGGGGTTTGTTTGATAATTCATGTGTTTAGTCGTCACTGTGTTTGATCTTCTGGGTTTGCATGTCATGTGGTGCTGGAGATGTTTACATCGCGGTGAGGCCTAATACTTCATGAGCGAAAACATCTTTGGCAACGCTGGCCACATTATAAGCCCTATTATTCACTGTGGTTGGTAGACACACGCACACACACAGACCTCTTGTGTGGTGTGATGTGTTTGTATTGTCTTGTGTAGTTTTAAAGGTGGCCCTTCTGGGGGTTGTAGCTGTGTTGTGGTTTTCCCAGAAGTTTCGGCTGTGGCGTTTTTATTAGTGAGAGGGAGGCGGTTTAGCCATGGTAACCCTGCCCCCCTGTCTGCGTCTGTGTTTATGTCTCTGGCTGTGTCTCAATGATCCAAAACTTGCTTTGAATTATAAGCTATAACTAGGGCCACGAGTTTCTCCTTGTCAGTTCACACTAGGTCCCAGAGTTTTCCCTTTAGAGCTCATGTGAGCAGACTTCTGTCTCTAATTCATGAGAAAAATAAGCTAGTTAAAACTATTGAGACTCTCTCTCTCTCGGTCTCTCAGGACTAGCAGTAATAGTGGAGGACTGACCATCAAGAGTCTGCTGCAGGAGAAGGAGGGTTCAGAGGCTGCGAAGTTCACTGTAGAGGAGCTGTGTCTCATCTGTAGCATCCTCAGTACTGCAGAGTACTGTCTGGCCACCACACAGCAGGTTAGAGCACACACACACACACACACACACACACACACACACACTTAACGTTAAACATATTCTGTGTCTGTGTGTGTCAGTTGGAGGAGAAGCTGAAGGAGAAGGTGGATAAGACCCTGGTGGAGAGAATCAACCTGACTGGAGAGATGGACACCTTCAGCAAGTACTCACCAAATCCTAACCTTCACTATTAGGGGCAACTTCTGCCAACACAAAATAATAATTGGATGAGAAGTCCATGAATGTAAACTCTCTCTCTGTCGATCAGTGTGATCTCCAACAGCATCCAGTTGCTTGTTCAGGACCTGGATGCTGCCTGTGACCCAGCTCTCACTGCCATGAGCAAGGTGGGACACCCACTGCATTCCTCTCTCCCTCTTTTCCTTACGCTGTCGTATAATATTTTCACTTTCAACCATTCTCTCACTGTCTCTCTTGGTCTCTCTCCCTCTAGATGCCATGGCAGAGTGTAGAGCATGTAGGTGACCAGAGTCCCTACGTGACGTCAGTCATCATGCACATCAAACAGAATGTCCCCATCATCAGAGATAACCTGGCCTCCACACGAAAATACTTCACCCAGTTTTGCATCAAGTTCACCAAGTGAGTTATTTTCCTCTTCACTGTTCGTCAATGTGTGTGAGGGAGAATCCCATTGACAAGAAAATTGATTTCGAGATTTTAGAGGTAATTGTCAGTTTTCAGAAATGCTACATTCTATTTTTTTTTTACCCCTCAGCTCGTTTATTCCTAAATTCATCAACCACCTGTTCAGGTGTAAGCCTATCAGCATGGTGGGGGCTGAACAGGTAAACCTACTTACCCTTTTATTTCATTAGCCTTTATCTAAGTAGAGTTACGCTTACGGTCTTCGTAACAATACAAACGTTTTGACAATTGTTTGTTTGCTGCCTGTAGCTGATAATTCAGCTAGTTTTATTGGTAACTTAGTTTTTTTTGTTCTGCTTTGTTCTTCAGCTTCTCCTGGACACCCACTCCCTGAAGACGGTGTTGTTGGATCTGCCCTCTATAGGGTCTCAGGTGGTCCGCAAGGCCCCAGCCAGCTACACCAAGATAGTTGTGAAGGGGATGACCCGCGCTGAGATGATCCTCAAGGTGAGCCCTGTGACGCTAAAGCGTAATTCAGAGTCCACAGACGCCGAGACGCGATAGTCCGGCGTCCCATTGTGACATAGATAAGACCACCATCCACGAGGGATGCACAGCCCGACTGTGCAACTCCCCAAAATTCCCAACCAACGCAGCTCCGCAAAACAAACCCTCTATTCATTTGAATGTGTTAACAGTTGGAGAAATTGCATAAGCCGCACTGAGAATTCGAAAAGTATGAAAGCCAACAGTCCAATATTCTAGAACACTGCTAGGTGTATGCGTACACATACACATTTTGGACATGCAAAAATGTTACACTACAACCATGCTACAATGTTACACTACAACCATGCTACAATGTTACACTACAACCATGCTACAATGTTACACTACAACCATGCTACAATGTTACACTACAACCATGCTACAATGTTTCTCTTTGACCATGCTACACCGTTTCTGTACAACCACGCAACAAAGTTTCACTACAGCCACCTCTACCTAATCCTACCACTTAATTGACCCTAAAGCCTAACCTTAACCCACACCTCAAGGTTAATCCTAACCGTAAACCATGCAGATCCTAGTCTTAACCTCTACCCTTTAAATACACTGGCTTGGCTAAACATGATTATAACCACTGTTCATTCCTGTGTTTTGGCATTAAACAATAGGTAACAACAATAAGACTAAATACAGGCTATTGTCTAAGTGTGTGCGGTTTGACCACAGAGCCAAGTATGACCATTGTCTGACTTGACCAGATTATCAATTTACGTTTTATTTTAGTTGAATAACTGCTTGTCTACAGGCTAATTCTTTCTCTTTAACCCCACTAAGGAAAGGGTTTTATGACAAAGTTCCCATTAAGTAGCTGAGGAATAGGAGCTGAGCTGTGCCCCTGGGTTTTAATGAGAGAGACAGGAGAGGAAGGCAGACTTTAAAACACACACACGGACATGCACGAACGGACGCGCACACACAGTGTGTCGACCTGCTGGAGCCAAGAGAGGTGTATGTGGTTAGGGAATTTTATGTTTTATTTTACCTTTATTTAACTAGGCAAGTCAGTTAAGAACAAATTCTTATTTACAATGACGGCCTACACCGGCCAAACCCGGACGAAGCTGGGCCAATTGTGCGCCGCCCTATGGGACTCCCAATCTGTCCGGTTGTGATACAGCCTGGAATCGAACCAGGGGGTCTGTAATGACGCCTCAAGCACTGAGATGCAGTGCCTTAGACCGCAGTGCCTTAGACCGCTGCGCCACTCGGAATGCAGGCATCCACGCGTATGTTCACGCAAGCAAACACACACACTTTCGGGAATGCTCACACTCATCAGACACATGTATCCTTGGCTTGTCTCTTCTACAGAGTAAACAGTCTGTGATTGGTCGACCTTGCCCCAGGGTTGGCCAATAGAATGCAGAAAGACAATGGCACGCACCTGTCTTCTCAGACAAACCCCACCTGCCCTAGAGCCTATCCCGTCACCCTACCCTAGTCCAGTTACCCTGCCCCCAAGGCTTGTGACCCAATCCCAGAGGAAATGTCCCTCACCCCCTTGTCTTCCTGACACACACACTTGACAGCCTGCCTAGAAGGAAGGCAGCCTTGATGTCTGTCTAATGGGCTTAATGGTCTGTCTTAATGGTCTGTCTTAATGGTCAACCTGGGGTCTGCTCTAATGGTCAGGCTGATCTGTTTTATTGGTCAGCCTTGGACCTGCTCTAATCATGCTACATCAGCCACAGTCATCAGAGCCATTAGGACGTCATCTATTCTGACCACAACCATTAGGACTACTGAAGATACAAGCATAGCCTCGTCTCCCTTTCTGTGTTTCTTGTCAAGGTCATATATCAGATGCTTTTATACAAAGGGACTTCTAGTTACCAGACATTCAGTATATGTGGCCCTTCTTCTCTGCTTGTGAGATAAACTTCAAAGCAATAATTTGCCCTGAATTACACATCTTGCTTCACACATTTCTTCTATCAGCCATTAAAGACCATGCTTTAAAATGTCCAACCGCCCGCCCATAGCTCCTTGAAACAACTTCAGACATTGAAAACTGTTTAGCGGCCTCTCCTCAGTGTCGTCACCTCTGGAGTGTCGACACCCGGGAGGTGTATGGATGGTTCCACATGTGAAACACACAAGGCCGTTCGTCCTTAGAGGAATGCCTTGAATATGTTTACATACATTCCCCTTTGTCTGCTGCCCATTACTGTGTGTGTGTGTGTGGAAGGCCTTGAACCGACATACAAGGCATATAGAGTTGTTCTCTTCGATCTGGCGAGCATTTCAGCCCTGGAGGTTGCGTGGTACCTAGGTGCCTCTTAGGTAATTGTTTCCATGTTGGGCCAAGCAGGGCCTACAGATGCTGAAAGTCCAGAGAAAATCATAGCCTGTGTCCCAAATGTTACCATATTTCCTATGTAGTGCACCACTTTTCACCAGAGCCCTAGTCCTTATCAATCCAAACACATACAGTGCCTTGCAAAAGTATTCATCCCCCTTGGCGTTTTTCCTATTTTGTTGCATTACAACCTTTTAATTTAAATTGATTTTTATTTGGATTTAATGTAATGGACATACACAAAATAGTCCAAATTGGTGAAGTGGAATGAAAAAAATTACTTATCAAAAAATTCTAAAAAATAAATAAGATCTGGTGCAACCAATTACCTTAAAAAGTCACATAATTAGTTAGATTGCACACAGGTGGACTTTATTTAAGTGTCACATGATCTGACACATGATCTCAGTGTATATATATACACCTGTTCTGAAAGGCCCCAGAGTCTGCAACACCACTAAGCAAGGGGCACCACCAAGCAAGCGGCACCATGAAGATCAAGGAGCTCTCCAAACAGGTCAGGGACGAAGTTGTGGAGAAGTACAGATCAGGGTTGGGTTATAAAAAAATCTTTGAACATCCCACGGAGCACCATTAAATCCATTATTAAAAGATTTAAAGAATATGGCACCACAACAAACCTGCCAAGAGAGGGCCGCCCACCAAATCTCACGGACCAGGCAAGGAGGGCATTAATCAGAGGCAACAAAGAGACCAAAGATAACCCTGAAGGAGCTGCAAAGCTCCACAGCGGAGATTTGGAGTATCTGTCCATAGGACCACTTTAAGCTGTACACTCCACAGAGCTGGGAAGAGTGGCCAGAAAAAAAGCCATTGCTTAAAGAAAAAAATAAGCAAACACGTTTGGTGTTTGCCTAAAGGCATGTGGGAGACTCCCCAAACATATGGAAGAAGGTACTCTGGTCAGATGAGACTAAAATTTAGTTTTTTGGCCATCAAGGAAAACTATGTCTGGCGCAAACCCAACACCTCATCGCCCCGAGAACACCGTCCCTGCAGTGAAGCATCATGCTATGGGGATGTTTTTCATCTGCAAGGACTGGGAAACTGGTCAGAATTGAAGGAATGATGGATGGCACTAAATATAGGGAAATTCTTGAGGGAAACCTGTTTCAGTCTTCCAAAGATTTGAGACTGGGACGGAGGTTCACCTTCCAGCAGGACAATGACCCTAAGCATACTGCTAAAGCAACACTCGAGTGGTTTAAGGGGAAACATTTACATGTCTTGGAATGGCCTAGTCAAAGTCCAGACCTCAATCCAATTGAGAATCTGTGGTATGACTTAAAGATTGCTGTACACCAGCGGAACCCATCCAACTTGAAGAAGCTGGAGCAGTTTTGCCTTGAAGAATGGGCATAAATCCCAGTGATTAAATGTGCCAAGCTTATAGAGACGTACCCCAAGAGACTTGCAGCTGTAATTGCTGCAAGAGGTGGCTCTACAAAGTATTGACTTTGGGTGGGTGAATAGTTATGAAGTGTTTTGCATCGTCAAAGTGGTAGGCATGTTGTGGAAATCAAATGATACAAACCCCCCAAAATCCATTTTAATTCCAGGTTGTAAGGCAACAAAATAGGACAAATGCCAAGGGGGTGAATACTTTCGCAAGCAACTGTAGGTCAGTGTGGGGCCTCAGGCCAGTATGGATGGACTATTCCTGGTCGAATGTTTGTACGATGTCCATGGATGATAAAAGTAAAGGTTATGGTGATGATTACTATGTGATAAAGTAGTTTAGACTGTTTGAGTATAATAGTTTCCAAGTGTAGACCTGTTCTGGTGAGTCTGTCTGTCTGACTATGTCTGTAGGTTGTTTCTGTCTCTCAGGCTCAGGCAGTCCTCCTTGCCCCATAAGACGTGGCTGTTTTCCACTCTCTCAGCCCTCTAGCCACCCACCCAACCCCGGCCCTCTCCCCCACCACCAGAGCGCTCTTCTGGGGAGTGGAAATGCTTCAACACCCCTCCACCCCACCTCCTTTTAGCCTGGATGTTTTTTCTTTATTCTCTCGCTCTCTCTCTCCCCCCTTCTCCCTCCCTTTCTTTCTCTAGTTTTTACGAGCTAATTAAAACACAGTCCCTCCAGGCTTTCCCTGGGCCTCCCTCCAGGACAGTTGCTAAGTAAATCACTCAGTCCAGAGGGGAAGGAACCTCAAGAATTCCAGACAATCCGAAGCATTCCATGTCCCGTCTCTCCTCTCTTTGGTTTCGCTCTCTTATACAGTGCCTTCGGAAAGTATTCAGACCCCTTTTTTTCTCACATTTTGTTAGGTTACAGCCTTATTCTAAAATAGATTAATCCACACACAATACCCCAATACCCCATAATGACAAAGCAAAAAAACAAGATTTTTTAATTTTGAAAAATGTATTAAAAATAAAAAATAGTATTCAGACCCTTTACTCAGTACTTTGTTGAAGCACCTTGGGCAGCAATTACAGCCTCGAGTCTTCTTGGGTATGACGCTACAAGCTTGGCACACCTGTATTTGGGGAGTTTACCCATTCTTCTCTGCAGATCCTCTCAAGCTCAATCAGGTTGGATGGAGAGCGAGCTGCACAGCTATTTTCAGGTCTCTCCAGAGATGTTAGATCGGGTTCAAGTCTGGGCTCTGGCTGGGCCACTCATGGATATTAAGAGAATTGTCCAGAAGCTATTCCTGTGTTGTCTTGTCTGTGTGCTTAGGGTCGTTGTCCTGTTGGAAGGTGAAACTTCGCTAGTCTGAGGTCCTGAGCACTCTGCATCAGGTTTTCATCAAGGATCTCTCTCTACTTTGCTCAGTTTGTCTTTCCCTCGATCCTGACTAGTCTCCCAGTCCCTGCCGCTGAAAAACATCCCCACAGCATGATGCTGCCACCACCATGCTTCACCGAAGGGATGGTGCCAGGTTTCCTCCAGAAGTGACTCTTGGCATTCAGGCCAAAGAGTTCAATCTTGGTTTCATCAGACCAGAAAATCTTGTTTCTCGTGGTCTGAGATTCTTTAGGTGCCTTTTGGCAAACTCCAAGCGGGCTGTCATGTCCCTTTTACTGAGGAGTGGCTTCCATCTGGCCACTCTGCCAAAAAGGCTTGATTGGTGGAGTGCTGCAGAGATTGTTGTCCTTCTGGAAGGTTCTCCCATCTCCACAGAGGAACTCTGGAGCTCTGTCAGAGTGACTATCGGGTTCTTGGTCACCTCCCTGACCAAGGCCCTTCTCCCCCGATTGCTCAGTTTGGCCGGGTGGCCAGCTCTAGGAAGAGTCTTGGTGGTTCCAAACTTCTTCCATTTAAGAATGATGGAGGCCACTGTGTTCTTGGGGACCTTCAATGCTGCAGACATTTTTTGGAACCCTTTCCCAGATCTGTGCCTCAACACAATCCTGTTTCGGAGCTCTACGGACAATTGCTTCGACCTCATGGCTTGGTTTTTGCTCTGACATGCACGGTCAACTGTGGGACCTTAAATAGACAGGTGGGTCTTTCCACATCATGTCCAATCAATTGAATTGACCACAGGTAGACTCCAATCAAGTTGTAGAAACATCTCAAGGATGGTCAATGGAAATAGGATGCACCCCTGCTCAATTTCGAGACTCATAGCAAAGGGTCTGAATACTTATCATGTAAGTAAGGTATTTCTGTTTTTTTATTTTTGATACATTAGCAAATATTTCAAAAAAACTGTTTTCTCTTTGTCATTATGGCGTATTGTGTGTAGATTGCTGAGTTTTTAAATTTTATTTAAACCATTTTAGAATAAGGCTGTAACGTAGCAAAATGTAGAAAAAGTCAAGGGGTCTGAATTTTTTCCGAAGACACTGTATGTATTCTGGCCCACACCCCTTAGGCACAGAGAGAGGACGGGAGGGAAAGGGAGAGGGGTTGTGTGTTGGTGAGTGAGATATGTTTTGGGTGGAGAAAAGGAGTGTTGGAGGGGGTGCAATTCCCGATTTTGATTTATTTTTTCAGTGGGATCTGTCAACCATGTTTGTCTGTCCACTCTGTAGCAAGCAACTACGATCAGTCTCAATGCTATATGAACCAGCTTTTCCTCTCTCCCTTGTTTCTCTCCTTCTCCCTATCTCTCTCTTGAAAGCCAAAAATAAATCTAACCTATTTCACAGTTTCTTTTTTTACTAATCCCCATTGCGATTTGCCTAAACTTTCAATCTCTCATTATAGCCCCAAATAATGACCAGTGAGGCTAATTCCCATCCACCCATGCATGGAGTACTTGGTGTGTAAAAAGAGTCGGGTCTCCTAAATATAGCCTTTTAGTAATATAGCCCAACAGTGGAGTCAGTGGTTGCATCTGAAATGGCTCCCTATTCCCTATATAGTGCACTACTTTTGACCAAATCCCATAGGGCTCTTGTCAAAAGTAGTGCACTATATAGGGAATAGAATGCAATTTTGGATGTAGTCAGTGTAATGTTGGGGCTTTGTTTGCAGCTTTAACCACTTGCACAATGTCTGGTCTGATAGTTGACTGACTCTGGGGCCTGTTTGTTTTTACGGGCCGCACACACTTACCATGCACATGCACACACACACAGAGTTTATGAATCTTGGTCGTTCCATCATAGCTCTTGGGAACGGGGGGGATCTAAAAACCCCATGCTGCGCTTCAGTATTGAGATGTGAATGTATGAGCAACCACTGATGTCTCTACCCCCCCCACAGGTGGTCATGGCCCCCCATGAACCCGCCGTGGTTTTTGTGGATAACTACATCAAGCTCCTTGCTGATGGGAACCCAGAGACCTTCCAGAAAACTCTGGATATGAAGGTAAGGGCCACTTCGGTGTGGTCCACGTGTTTTGTCTCTCTCAATGATGTCACCTGTTTTCAACCGTTATTTCCTACTTCCTCTGGCTGTTGTCTTGTTCTCTCTTGTTGTTTCCTCTTGCAATAACTGGTGTGTGTGTGTGTGTGTGTGTGTGTGTGTGTGTGTGTGTAGGGGTTGAAGCGCAGTGAGCAGAGCAGCATGTTGGAGCTCTTCAGACAGAGGTTACCCACTCCACCATCAGGGGCCGACGGAGGCCCCTCTCTCTCCTTCAGCACCCCCACCCCCGAGCAGGAGAACTCGCGCATACGCAAACTGGAGAAGCTCATCAAGAAGAGACTCTGAGCGTGCACACACTCACACACATCACCATACCACACACACAAATTATTCCAGTAATTCATCTCAAATACTTTTTCCTGCTCTGTTCAATCATAACGGAGAATTGCAGGCAGAGTAAAGACATGATTGTCTCATTTTTGTTAGGAGCATTAATATGACCCTCATGATTTCAAAGTCAACTGTCAGATTATGAAGAAATGTCCTCAGCTGCAGTAAGCTGTTGGCACATACGACTTATTTACTTCTGTATTTCTTTTCTGCTTCTCTTTTTATGACACTAAATACCCGAGCTTTGTAAATGTCATTAAATGTAGACTATATCATACACACTATGCCTTTTAGCAAAATGTGTTTGCACTTAAAAAGACTGAGCTACTAACTAAAAACGGCTTTAGGAGCAATTTGCTGCCGCTTTGGCACCTATCCTCCCAGTCCCAGACAGAACAAGGAACTTCAATGCGTTTTGAAGCTAACATTTTCAGAATGTTCTAATGTTTTCAGAATGTTCTCCACTTCTCCAGTCCGATGTCTTTTAGTGTGTTTCTCTTGGTTCCGTGTTCAAGGGGAGGATGCAGTTAGTTAGGAGTTTGTGTATGTTTCCAGTGTCCCTCCGGGTTGATGGACCGCATCCCACCATGCATTGTTGTCTCCAGGTTCAGTGGTTAAGCCCCCAGGTCTGGGACAGAGAGGATCTTGGGATTTCCTATCTCCTCAATTAGACACGAGCCAGTTTCTGTGCTTTTTGAAAGTCCCCCATGAAATGAGAACCAGTCAAAGCCCCTGTATTCCGGGCCCCTGTATTTGACACTGACCTAGATTACCTGTCAATCATAATGAAAACTTGCCAGAAGATACCGACCCTACCGTTACGCTTGTTTACACTGAGATGCACTGGGGTCGGAACGCAATCATGGTTACATTAAGACACTGTGGAGCCAGTGTGGGAGAGAGGTCGGAAAACATACCTCAATGCAGGGATGGGATATGCCACTGTACTCCAAATTTCACCTTTATCCACACTGCTCTATCGAAAAGATTGAAATAGTGCTTGTTTTCCCGGAAAATGTCCCTTTTCTCCTCATGCTAGTTAGCAGTAGCCACCGCAGCCATTTTTATTTTTTGGAATGGCACGTTGCGTTGAACAACAAAGGAGGTAATTGGCTGACACTGTCATTCCAAAATGGGTGCAGTGGATACTGCTAGCTAGCATGAGGACGAAAAGGGACGTTTTCCGGAAAAACTAGCGGTATTTCAATCTTTTCGATAGAGCAGTGTATTCGATAGAGGTAAAATTTAGAGTACAGTGGCATATCCCATCCCTGCATTGAGGTACGTTTTCCGACCCATATCTCGCGCTGGCTCCACGGTGTCTTAATGTAACCATGATTGCGTTCCGACCCCAGTGCAGCTCAGTGTAAACAAGTGTAATGGTAGGGTTGGTATCGTCTGGCAAGTTTTCATTATGATTGACAAGTAATCTAGGCCTGTCAGTCTGAGGCCCGGAATAACAACAGAAAATAAAAAAGGTTTAGACAATAATTCTTAAACAGAGAACAATATAATTTTGTACAATGTATCCTTGCACAACAGTCAACATAAGTTCCTCTGTTAGACAGGGAATTACACTGAGAAGTTAGCACAATGACGCTAGTGGAGAGCAAGAATATATTATCGGAAGGAACAGATAGTTGCTTTTCATACTGTCATTGAGCTAATTATTTCTACTGTTACTTGCTTCAGATAAATTACCTATTGCATGTAACAGCAAATATTCTGGATCAGTGATCCTTTGAAGTGGTTCATATAGGGAAATGAATTATTTGGTGGTGTAGCACAACATCATAAGGATGGGGTCTGAAGAATGTGTCTAGTGTGTCAAGTATCGATTCTAAATCAGTTATGGAGCATGAACGATTGGTGTTGGATTTCGTCCTTGGAAACCATTATTATCCTGCAAATTGAAAAATGTATGTATTAATATATTAATGCTATAATGCTTTTTTGATTTACATATTCCTGCCTTTAGTTCATAAGAATAAAAACATGTTACGTTGTATCGTCAGTAATAGGCTACTGTAGTAGTAACTGGTCAAAAACACGAATAAAAGTTTGCCATGTTTTCCTTGTCGGAATGTTGTATCTCACACACCGCTCTCTGTCCGAGTCCATGGGTGTAATCATTAGTCCAAACAAAAAGTGTTTCTATTGGACAAATTCAGATAGGTCCCTCCCTGTTTCTTTCAGTTCGCTCCCGTTTAAGAAACGTTTTCAACAGAATCGGCCCAGTTGAGGTTAACATTTTACAAGGGTGTTTTTGTTCGGTGGGAGGGCAGAAGGAGAGTTCCCATGTTTCGTTTTGTTGCCTTTCATTTCCCCTCCAATCAGAGGTGAGGGTGCGTTTTAAAAGCCGTTTCCCTTTCTCTATTTCACTGCAAAAACAATGAAACCCTTTGAAGGGAGAGAAATTTGAAGACAGACAGGCGGGACAATCCTCAGTTCCTTCCCCTGTGTTCTTTTATACTTCAGTGCCTGTGACACATAGCTTGATTTCACTATTTTGTCAACTTCAAAGCAACAACGATTTATATTGAATCTCTTAGCCGCCCCCCAAAAAATGGAAGGGCAAAAACATTTTGGGGGAGAAATGACTTATTCGTTCGTTGACTTATGGAGGATTTAAATAGCATATTGTAAAATTTGTTTAGAAACGCTGTGGGTTACCGACAGTCGTGAACCGTAGCCTATTGCCAAGCAAGAGAAGTTAATGCAAGCCAATTGCCGTCTGCCGACTTGCTTGACCATTGGGAAATTACCCGACGTGGATGATCCGTTGTATTCAAGGAAAGACGCCTCTACGAATTGGAAATCAATTTTACCTACAGTTCTGAAAACTCATCACGCAGCAGGGGTCGTTTATTATTTATTGAATTTTTTTGTAAAGCAATGGTGGGCAGACTAAACTTGCTGAATGTATGTGACGACGAGCCATTGGACATGAGCTGCAAAGCCGAGCGGGGACTTGACAGCCCGGACTCCGGATTACCACCCAGCCCCAGTCCGAGCCACTGGCTGCTGCCTGACTGTGGGGATAAAGGTGCCATAAGCCCGGTGTCTGAAGACGAGAGGAGAGGGTCGTACTTGGTACGTAGGCTGTCGCACGTTTTACTACTATTGTTACAATTTCATAACGGGATGTTAGCCTTTACTGTAAGGCAAAGTTAAAACATTGTTAACGAAATATTTAGCCTCTGAATACGTTTTCCTGCATGGCCCATTGTGAATCTGGGTCATGTCAATAGTAAATTGGGTCAGTAGCCCAAGCCAATCACGTTCGCCACCTCCACCAAATATTGTCTCCTTATGTGAGTGCTGACTGTGTCGGCTGACTTTGCTTGCAGGTTCCAATTTTATCGATTGGATCTGTTCCTCAGCTGCACACGTTGTCCTACGGGGAGGGCATAGAACTTGATCCACTACCGCCAAAGGAAATACGGTATGCTGTTTTAAATGACTGCATTTAGGCTGTGAATGTTTGTGTGGTTTGAAATTGGCTTAGCACTGTCCACTGTGTGCTGCATATGCCTCACTATTGGTATAAATACCATTAAAGAAATGTGGTGGACCACAGATCAAATGTAGTAGTTACTTTTTATTATTTTTATTTTTATTTTTTTACTTCTGTCAGCCTGTGTGTAGTCAGCCTGTGCCTCCTGTAGCCAAGTGTCTATTTCTTGGAGGTTTGCAGTGCTTGAAGCCTTGCCACATTCCAGTCCTAAAACGATATCTAGCTGAACATGTAGTGAAATGACACTTGCCCAAACGTTGTCATTCCTAGATACACATCGTCTGTCCACTATGATTCAGAGCGTCACTTTATCCACGACGTGGCCATGCAGCCTAGAGGCCTGGGTCTGGAGCACTGCAGCCAGACGGTCCTGGCTGTCCCTCACAGCACCTGGAGACACTACAAGACCCAGCTAGACCTCCAGCCTCGCCAGCGGGCCCAGCGCTTCCAGAGCACCACCATCGTCTACCCCAAGCACGCTCGCACCATCTACACCACAGAGCTGAGCTACGACAGCCGCCGGCTATCCAGGAGATTCTTGTCGAGCGTGGAGCTGGAAGCTGCTGACCGGAGTAGGCTACCCCAGTGAGGTTAGGGGAAGGCTGGGCACGGCCTGAGGGAGGGGTCCCTGGGGCCCAACCATCCACCAGGCTGACACCAACCCATGGACCCAGGTTACACAGTCTATTAGTTTAGATTGGAAAGCATCGTAGCCCACGGAGTTGTCAAATTACTGTCTATGACTGGGCTTTAAAATGTCTCGTCAAATCACGGTATTATGGGGTATTTGTTGCACAACGTTACATACCACAAGCAGAATATATTAGCCTGGATAGTGTAACACTGAGCCATGTATAGAGATGTATGATCCTGGTGTAACACCAAACCCCAACTTAGTCTTGCCTAAACAAACATTGTCATCTACTGTAAGTATGGTCCATGGAGCAGAAAGCCACAGCTTTTTTCATATTGTGTAAAAGAGTTGCAAATTACAGCAAGTTCTGTGTTGAACGTTGGGACATGTTTTCCACAGATCATTGCGAATTGAGGAAATTGGTATTAGTTGGTAATGAGTAGCGAGAGATGATCCAATGTGTCATTATTGTTTTCAGTTATAAAGTTTTAGCATTTTCCTGATAGTGAAGTCTTGTTTTTACTAACACCTCATGGACTGTCCATCAATGGTTCATTATCGTCGCCTATCCTCTTCTGGTTGCTTCTAGAGGTTTCATTTTGTTATGTATTTATTTGATGCTCATCAACTCCTTTTGGTAGCCTATTAGTAATACACAGGTATCTTCCAATAATACACATCTAGAGGACCTGAACTGTCTTGAGATACCCAAAGTGCCTTATTGAAGTAAAATGATATTGCTTTTAAAGCTCTGTTTTTATAGTGTCTGTTTGAAATAAAGACAAACTGTCTTATATCAGATTTGAGAAGTGTTACAATTATTTGATGTTATGTACTCCAAATCCATACGTTAATTCAAAGTAGTCTTATCAGGATTTTATTTTGATTATCAATTAGGGATGTGCCTTTTTAAATAGCCACTACCGGAGTAGAGCTACAACTTCAGTACAATTATAATGTTCCACCATCTCAGATTGAGACAACTATGCCACCTGCAGGATAGAGAAGGTGCTGCACATACTGTATAACTGCACATAAAACTACAGATTTATTAGTGTGAAAACAGCCCCACCTAGATGTGGTGTGTAATGACACCACTGCTCTCCAAGTGTCCCTTGAACAGGCCCAAGTAGTCCATCACCCCCTGCTGTGAGGCCAGGTAGCGTTTCCTCCGGTTGGCCTTGTACACCTCTATCCTCTTTGCCTCGGCCACCGGATCCTCCAGAACTCCGTCCCACCTCAGGCTCTCCCTGGCTGGGTTGGCCTGGTCCCCTGACAGTGGGGCTTGGAGGGTACCAGCGTCTGGGCCTGTCAACGTTTTTTCCTCGTGTTTCATTGCCTCTCGCTGGGATTTATTGGTGCGGAGGCTGATCAGACTCCTGGCTTTGGTCTTTTTGCCGTTGGAGCCCTTCAGGGTGGGGTTTGGACCATGTGGAGGAGCCTTTGACGACCTGCTGCTGCTCAGTGTTGAGTTTATCTGCTGTGATTGCAGGCCGGCAAAGTGGGGATAAATTACAGGTTAATCTTAATTTGATACCCAAGTGTTTTGATTTCACAACAATATCACTCAACACATTCACCCCTTGCAGGTGATTAAAGGGTCACTTTAGGCTCTCTTTCACATGTTGTCCCTTTTTAGCGACAAGGCAGGCATCAGTGCTTTTCAAAAATATACGAAGCTATAAGCTATTCATTGTTTATTAAAGGTGCAATATGGAGAAATTGCTCTGCCATTTCCTTTTTACTTAAATTCTAAAAGTTCACCTAATTTCCGTTTGACAAAACAAATGTATAGTGTTGATAATCATTGTCCATCTAAACTGCTGTGAAATATCAATAACCAAAAATATTGTAATTTCAGCTGTTTGAAGCTGGTGTACAAAACTAAAAGTAAAAGTAAAACAGAAATGGCACACATAGAACAGATCTACTGCTTTATTTTTTTTAACCTTTAATTTATCAGGGAGTCTAAGACTTGCTTTTAATGAGAATGACAGATCTATAACTCACACTTATATGCGAATTTGGTTGGGTCGCCCAAAAAGTTACATATATTGCAGCTTTAACAAAATCTATGACAAAAACATAAACAAAGGATCCGTGTTGGGGTTACTATGATAACGTTATGGTAAAACAGTTGTGGGTAGGCCTATAGGCCTACGCTAGGCATTTAAAACTAGATTTTGTGAGCATCACCAAAACAAACCAACCTGCTGCATCATCGGAGTTTGAAGGCGAGCTCGGTCCTCTTCTCGTTGATCTACTCTTCTTTTTATCTTTTGTTTTGTGCTTTCTCGTCTTTTTCTTTCGCTTGCTGTCATTTGTAACGCTCACGTTGGTAGACATCAAAGCATCTTTACTCCATACCGCCGTATCAACGTTTCTGCTGTGGTTCATTCTCTACCGCCGACGCTTGGGCTAACTAGATAAACCATCAAACTATTGATCGTTTATACATTGTGTGTCAACTGCTTTATATCGAAGCATACATAGGCCTACACTTTATAACACTGTTACACCGGCGTGATGAATTGAAAAACGAGAACTTCATCAGCTACTTTTGAAGGTGTGCACTCCGAACGTGAGTAACTAAGTGTCGCAGTAATTGGTTACTGTAGCAACAATGAACAACATTGGTTACTCAAATCAAATTGTATTTGTCACATGCGCCGAATACAACCGGTGTAGGACTTACCGTGAAATGCTTACTTACAAGCCCTTAACCAACAATGCAGTTCAAGAAATAGGTTATTTAAATATTTACAAAATAAAATAAAAAGTAACACAATAAAATTACATCACAATAACGAGGCTATATACAGGGGGTACCGGTCCCGAGGCAATGTGTGGGGGTACAGGTTAGTTGAGGTAGTTTGTACATGTAGGTTGGGGTAAAGTGACTGCATAGATAATAAACAGCTAGTAGCAGCAGTGTAAAAACTCAATGTGTCATTTGGGGGGGGTCAATGTAAATAGACAGGGTGGCCATTTCATTAATTGTTCAGCACTCTTATAGCTTGGGGGTAGAAGCTGTTAAGGAGCCTTTTGGACCTAGACTTGGTGCTCCAGTACCGCTTGCCATGCAGTAGCAGAGAGAACAGTCTTACTTGGGTGACTGGAGTCTTTGACGATTTTTTGGGCCTTCCTCTGACACGCCTAGTATATAGGTCCTGGATGGCAGGAAGCTTGGCCCCAGTGATGTATTGGGCCGTACGCACTACGCTCTGTAGCGCCTTACGGTCGGATGCCAAGCAGTTGCCATACCAGGCGGTGATGGATGCTCTCGATGGTGCAGCTGTATAACCTTTTGAGGATCTGGGGACCCATGCCAAATATTTTCAGTCTCCTGAGGGGGAAAAGGTGTTGTCGTGCCCTCTTCACGACTGTCTTGTTGTGTTTGGACCATGATAGTTTGTTGGGGATGTGGACACCAAGGAACTTGAAACTATCGACCCGCTCCACTACAGCCCCGTAGATGTTAATGGGGGCCTGTTCGGCCCTCCTTTTCCTGTAGTCCACGATCATCTCCTTTGTCTTGCTCACATTGAGGGAGAGGTTGTTGTCCTGGCCTACCACTGTTGTGTCATCAGCAAACTTAATGATGGGGTTCGAGTCGTGCTTGGCCACACAGTCATGGGTGAACAGTGAGTACAGGAGGGGACTAAGCACAAACCCCTGAGGGGCCCCGGTGTTGAGGATCAGCGTGGCAGATGTGTTGTTACCTACCCTTACCACCTGGGGGCGGCCCGTCAGGAAGTCCAGGATCCAGTTGCAGAGGGAGATGTTTAGTCCCAGGGTCCTTAGCTTAGTGATGAGCTTTGTGGGCACTAATCAAATCAAATCAAATCAAATTTTATTGAGTCACATGCGCCGAATACACAGTGCAGACATTACAGTAAATCTTATTACAGCCCTTACCAACAGTGCATTTATTTTAAACAAAAAAGTAAGAATAACACAAAAAAAAAAGGTTAAAAAAAAAAAGAGCAATAAAAATAAAGTGACCGTAGGATGCATATATACAATAGAATAAAGTGACAGTAGGAGCTATATATACAGGGGGTACCGTGCATATCCATGTGCGGCGGGCACCGGCTAGTTGAGGTAGTTTGAGTAATATGTACATGTGGTAATTTAACGTGACTATTGGCATAAATACTTAACAGAGTAGCAGCAGCGTAAAAAGGATGGGGGTGGGGGGGGGGCATTGCAAAGTCCGGGATCCATGATTAGCTTGTTCAGAGTCTTTAGGCTTGGGGGTAGAAGCTGTTGAGAAGTCTTTTGGACCTAGACTTGGCACTCCGGTACCGCTTGCCGTGCGGTAGCAGAGAGAACAGTCTATGACTAGGGTGACTGGAGTCTTTGACAATTTTGAGGGCCTTCCTCTGACACCGCCTGGTATAGAGGTCCTGGATGGCAGGGAGCTTTGCCCCAGTGATGTACTGGGCCGTACGCACTACCCTCTGTAGTGCCTTGCGGTCAGAGGCCAAGCAGTTGCCATACCAGGCGGTGATGCAACCAGTCAGGATGCTCTCGATGGTGCAGCTGTAGAATTTTTTGAGGATCTGAGGACCCATGCCAAATCTTTTTAGTCTCCTGAGGGGGAATAGGCTTTGTCGTGCCCTCTTCACGACTGTCTTGGTGTGTTTGGACCACACTATGGTGTTGAACGCTGAGCTGTAGTCAATGAACAGCATTCTCACATAGGTCTTCCTTTTGTCCAGGTGGGAAAGGGCAGTGTGGAGTGCGATTGAGATTGCGTCTTCTGTGGATCTGTTGGGGCGGTATGCGAATTGGAGTGGATGTAGGGTTTCCGGGATGATGGTGTTGTGAGCCACGACCAACCTTTCAAAGCACTTCATGATTACCAACGTGAGTGCTACGTGGCGGTAGTGATTTAGGAAGGTTATCTTCGCATTCTTGGGCACAGGGACTATGGTGGTTTGCTTGAAACGTGGGAATTATAGACTCGGTCAGGGAGAGGTTGAAAATGTCAGTAAAGACACTTGCCAGTTGGTCTGCACATGCTCTGAGTACACGCCCTGGTAATCTGTCCTTGTGAATGTTGACCTGTTTAAAGGTCTTGCTCACATCGGCTACGGAGAGAGTGATCACACAGTCGTCCGGAACAGCTGGTGCTCTCATGCATGCTTCAGTGTTGCTTGCCTCGAAGCGAGCATAAAAGGCATTTAGCTCGTCTGGTAGGCTTGCGTCACTGGGCAGCTCGCGGCTGGGTTTCCCTTTGTAGTCCTTAATAGTTTGCAAGCCCTGCCACATCTGACGAGCATCAGAGCCGGTGTAGTAGGATTCAATCTTAGTCCTGTATTGACGCTTTGCCTGTGATGGTTCGTCTGAGGGCATAGCGGGATTTCTTATAAGCGTCCGGATTAGTGTCCTGCTCCTTGAAAGCGGCAGCTCTAGCCTTTAGCTCGATGCAGATGTTGCCTGTAATCCATGGCTTCTGGTTGGGATATGTACGTACGGTCACTGTGGGGACGACGTCGTCAATGGACTTATTGATGAAGCCTGTGACTGAGGTGCTATACTCCTCAATGCCATTGGATGAATCACGGAACATATTGCAGTCTGTGCTAGCAAAACAGTCCTCATGATCCTCCACAGACATGAACCAATGAGACACGATCTAAAGAATTCTGACGTCAATTAGGGGTGTGACTTCACTCTAACAAGTCTGGGCAAAACATCTGCATGGTACAATTGTTCATTATTGGACCAGACTACAGGAGGTTGGTGGCACCTTAATTGGGAAGAACGGGCTCGTGGTAATGGCTGGAGTGGAATGGTGTCAAATACAGTACCAGTCAAAAGTTTGGACACACCTACTCATTCAAGGGTTTTTCTTTATTTTTACTATTATTCTACATTGTAGAATAATAGTGAAGACATCAAAACTATGAAATAACACATATGGAATCATCTAGTAACCAAAGAAGTGTTAAACAAATCAAAATATATGTTATATTTGAGATTCTTAAAATAGCCCCCCTTTGCCTCGATGACAGCTTTGCACACTCTTGGCATTCTCTCAACCAGCTTCATGAGGTAGTCACCTGGAATGCATTTCAATTAACAGGTATGCCTTGTTAAAAGTTAATTAGTGGAATTTCTTTCTTTCATAATGCGTTTGAGCCAATCAGAAGATGCGTTTCCATGTGTTTGATGCCATTCCATTCGCTCCGTTCCGGTCATTATTATGAGTCGTCCTCCCCTCAGCAGCCTCCTGTGGACCAGATATATACCAGACAATAACGGACCATTATTGGACATTGGACTACACGTAGTTATGAGTTAAAGAATCAGTCTTAGTCTAGTAATGCACTGTCAGTTTTAGCAATGAATTCCAACACCACTCCAAGGGAGGCTCTATTAGATGACTTGGATGATACAAGCATTTACATTTACATCATTTAGCAGACGCTCTTATCCAGAGCGACTTACACATTGGTGCATTCAGAACTACTACTAGTATACAGTCGGAGCATCTCAGTGAGTATGACTGCTTATTGAAATGTTTGCTAACAGCATTTCTAGATGAGATACATGCCCAATGGGATTATTGAATATTATGGACTGTTTACTATGCCTGAATGTACATTACAGCTATACAGTGCAATAGTCTATACAGTTAATTTAAAACAGTTGTCCATAGGTCAATAATCCATGCAGTTCATAAAATACGGTGTAACTGTTACTTCTCTGAAGTTCCCCTACTACAGTATCTTTCTTTATCTTTGATCTACTCTAGCCCCTCCTGACCAACCCAGTTGGTACCAGGCTGACTCCCGCTGGTGGTACTATTTTGACTCCCGGGGATGGTACCAGTCTGACACCCGGTGATGGTACCAATCTGACTCCCGCTGGTCTGATTCCTGCTGATGGTACCAATGTGACTCCTTCTAGTGGTACCAGTACCAGTTTGAGCTCTGGTGCTGATCAACACAGTCTGACACCGGGTATGTGTGTGGGCGATGATGGCCAGTCCCTTGCCAAGATGGAGGAGAGGACCAATGGCCTTATTAAGAAACGGTAAACCCACTCAAGAATAGTGCATTCGGAAAGTATTCAGACCCCTTCACTTTTTCCACATTTTGTTACGTTAGACTTATTCTAAAATTGATTAAATTGTTTTTCCCCCTCATCAATCTACACACAATACCCCATAATGACAAAGCGAAAGCAGGTTTTTTGAAATTTTTGCAAATGTATTACAAATGAAAAACAGAAATACCCTATTTACATAAGTATTCCGACCCTTTGCTTTGAGATTCAAAATTGAGCTCAGGTGCATCCTGTTTCCATTGATCATCCTTGAGATGTTTCTATAACTTGATTGGAGTCCAACTGTTATAAATTCAATTGATTGGACATGATTTGGGAATGCACACACCTGTCTATATAAGGTCCCACAGTTGACAGTGAATGTCAGAGCAAAAACCAAGCCATGAGGTTGAAGGAATTGTCCGTAGAGCTCCGAGACAGGATTGTGTCGAGGCACAGGTCTGGGAAAGGGTTCCAAAAAATTTCTGCAGCATTGAAGGTCCCCAAGAACACAGTGGCCTCCATCATTCTTAAATGGAAGAAGTTTGGAACCAGCAGGACTCTTCCTAGAGCTGGCTGCCCGGCCAAACTGAGCAATCAGGGGAGAAGGGCCTTGGTCAGGGAGGTGACCAAGAACCCGATAGTCACTCTGACAGAGCTCCAGAGTTCCTCTGTGGAGATGGGAGAACCTTCCAGAAGGACAACCATCTCTGCAGCACTCCACCAATCAAGCCTTTTTGGCAGAGTGGCCAGATGGAAGCCACTCCTCAGTAAAAGGGACATGACAGACCGCTTGGAATTTGCCAAAAGGCACCTAAAGGACTCTCAGACCATGAGAAACAAGATTCTCTGGTCTGATGAAACCAAGATCTCTTTGGCCTGAATGCCAAGCGTCACGTCTGGAGGAAACCTTGCACCATCCCTACGGTGAAGCATGGTGGTGGCAGCATAATGCTGTGGGGATGTTTTTCAGCGGCAGGGACTGGGTGATTGAGGGAAAGATGAACAGAGAGAAGTACAGAGAGATTCTTGATAAAAACCTGCTCCATAGCGCTCAGGACCTCAGACTGGGGTGAAGGTTCACCTTCCAACAGGACAACGACCTGAAGCACACAGCCAAGACAACGCAGGAGTGGCTTTGGGACAAGTCTCTGAATGTCCTTGAGTGGCCCAGCCAAAGCCCGGACTTGAACCTGATCGAACATCTCTGGAGGGACCTGAAAATAGCTGTGCAGCGACGCTCCCCATCCAACCTGACAGAGCTTGAGAGGATCTGCACAGAAGAATGGGAGAAACTCCCCAAATACAGGTGTGCCAAGCTTGTAGCGTCATACCCAAGAAGACTTGAGGCAGTAATCGCTGCCAAAGGTGCTTCAACAAAGTACTGAGTAAAGGGTCTGAATACTTATGTAATTGTGATATTTCAGTTTTGTATTTTTAATACATTTACTAACGTTTCTAAAAACCTGTTTTTGCTTTGTCATTATGGGGTATTGTGTGTAGACTGATGAGGGGAATAAAACAATTTAATCCATTTTAGAATAAGGCTGTAACGCAACAAAATGTGGAAAAAGTCAAGGGGTCTGAATACTTTCCGAATGCACTGCATATTAGTTAATATACAGCACCAACTACATGCATATATGTTAGGGTCCATTATCTTCCCCCAAAAGGCTAGGGCCGGCCCTGGCTACACTACCACACCCAGACACACACCAATTCTCTCTGATGTTTTTCTAACCTCTTTGGTATCTCTCTGACCTTTCACTTTCTCTCTGGTCTCACATTTATCTCTCCCTCTGGTCTCTTTGACCCCTCTATGATCTCTCGGATCTCTCTTTCCCCCCTCTCTCTGATCTCTCTCTCTCTCTGATCTCTGTCTCTCTCACTGGATTCTCTCTCAGGTGGGTCTATATAAACTCCTGTTTGACTCCAGGGTTCTATGAAGAGGGATCAGCTCCTCCACTACCTCAAGATCCATCCCCACCAGGCCTTTGTGTCAGAGCTCCAGAGCTATGCCCAGAAATTGGGCCTCCTTGCGGTCTCCTTCGGAGAGCTCGTCTACCACCTGTTGGTTGTGCTATATTTCTCCAACCTCCAGCCCATTGACAAGCTACACCTGGAATACAGACACCAGAGCTCCGGAGGCCTCATAGGAACCAGGGAGGTAGAGTTTGAGGAGACCCAGCTAAGCGTTAAACTCAGGGGCTACCTGGGCTTCTGGAGGGGGAGAGGGAGCCCCATGGAGTGGATTTTGAGGATATAGAAGAGGCTTGAAAGTGTAGGATGTGCCCCTATGAGGAGAGCTGTGAATAGAGGAGGAGTAGGTTGCAAGAGGTGATGGTTTATGGCAGTAAGAAAGCCAAATTGGATGGTGCTAAATCGGAGAGTCCCAATTCAGAGGGTTCCAAGTTGGAGGGTTCCAAATTGAAGACTGTCAGGTCTGAGAATCCAAAATGGGATAGTCCAACATTGGATAGTCCAATTTACGTACTCTGTCCACGAGAAATTATCTGTTTGCTAACTTGCACATTTTATGTATAAAAACAACAACAACCTGTGACTACTTTTTGTGAGTGTGAAAAATATCTAACCATGAAAATATCATTATAAAATACAAAACCTACATGAAATGTAATTTTTATATATACAGCACCTTGGAGGCTCGGCCCTAATTTATTTTGCTCTCTGAGACCTGGAGTTGCATTGCAAATGGTCCAGGAACACAAGGGAAGCACAAAGGACAATGCCCAAGGACTAGTCAGGCCCCTCCCACTCCCCCCTCTGAGGGGCCAAAATGTATCTGTCTGTTACAGTATCCAGAGGACTGACTATTGAATGTGTGATACAGTAGACACCAGACAGGGATACTATAGTATTATTCTATCTGAAAGTTGTCCCCTAAAGAAGACTCTGAAGCTATACAGTGGGGAAAAAAAGTATTTAGTCAGCCACCAATTGTGCAAGTTCTCCCACTTAAAAAGATGAGAGAGGCCTGTAATTTTCATCATAGGTACACGTCAACTATGACAGACAAATTGAGAAAAAAAAATCAGAAAATCACATTGTAGGATTTTTAATGAATTTATTTGCAAATTATGGTGGAAAATAAGTATTTGGTCACCTACAAACAAGCAAGATTTCTGTCTCTCACAGACCTGTAACTTCTTCTTTAAGAGGCTCCTCTGTCCTCCACTCGTTACCTGTATTAATGGCACCTGTTTGAACTTGTTATCAGTATAAAAGACACCTGTCCACAACCTCAAACAGTCACACTCCAAACTCCACTATGGCCAAGACACAAGAGCTGTCAAAGGACACCAGAAACAAAATTGTAGACCTGCACCAGGCTGGGAAGACTGAATCTGCAATAGGTAAGCAGCTTGGTTTGAGGAAATCAACTGTGGGAGCAATTATTAGGAAATGGAAGACATACAAGACCACTGATAATCTCCCTCTATCTGGGGCTCCACGCAAGATCTCACCCCGTGGGGTCAAAATGATCACAAGAACGGTGAGCAAATATCCCAGAACCACACGGGAGGACCTAGTGAATGACCTGCAGAGAGCTGGGACCAAAGTAACAAAGCCTACCATCAGTAACACACTACGCCGCCAGGGACTCAAATCCTGCAGACGTGTCCCCCTGCTTAAGCCAGTACATGTCCAGGCCCGTCTGAAGTTTGCTAGAGTGCATTTGGATGATCCAGAAGAGGATTGGGAGAATGTCATATGGCCAGATTAAACCAAAATAGAACTTTTTGGTAAAAACTCAACTCGTCGTGTTTGGAGGACAAAGAATGCTGAGTTGCATCCAAAGAACACCATACCTACTGTGAAGCATGGGGGTGGAAACATCATGCTTTGGGGCTGTTTTTCTGCAAAGGGACCAGGACGACTGATCCGTGTAAAGGAAAGAATGAATGGGGCCATGTATCGTGAGATTTTGAGTGAAAACCTCCTTCCATCAGCAAGGGCATTGAAGATGAAACGTGGCTGGGTCTTTCAGCATGACAATGATCCCAAACACACCGCCCGGGCAACGAAGGAGTGGCTTTGTAAGAAGCATTTCAAGGTCCTGGAGTGGCCTAGCCAGTCTCCAGATCTCAACCCCATAGAAAATCTTTGGAGGGAGTTGAAAGTCCGTGTTGCCCAGCGACAGCCCCAAAACATCACTGCTCTAGAGGAGATCTGCATGGAGGAATGGGCCAAAATACCAGCAACAGTGTGTGAAAACCTTGTGAAGACTTACAGAAAACATTTGACCTGTGTCATTGCCAACAAAGGGTATATAACAAAGTATTGAGAAACTTTTGTTATTGACCAAATACTTATTTTCCACCATAATATGCAAATAAATTCATAAAAAATCCTACAATGTGATTTTCTGGATTTTTTTTTCTCATTATGTCTGTCAAAGTTGACATGTACCTATGATGAAAATTACAGGCCTCTCTCATCTTTTTAAGTGCGAGAACTTGCACAATTGGTGGCTGACTAAATACTTTTTTTCCCCACTGTATGTATGTATGATTTCTGTGGTGTAGTTACATGTGGTCTGTGGTTGTGAGGCCGGTTGGACGTACTGCCAAATTCTCTAAAATGACGTTTGAAGCGTCTTATGGTAGAGAAATGAACATTAAATTCTCTGGCAACAGCTCTGGTGGACATTCCTGCAATCAGCATGCCAACTGCATGCACCCTCAAAACTTGAGACATCTGTGGCATTGTGTTGTGTGACAAAACTGCACATTTTAGAGTGGCCTTTTATTGTCCCCAGCACAAGGTGCACCTGTGTAATCATATCACATTTTATTTGTCACATGCAGTGAAATGCTTATTTACAAGCCCTTAACCAATAATGCAGTTTTAAGAAAGAATACCAAAAAAATAATAAATTAAATAAATTAAATAAAAAATTTTTTTTTAAAGAGCAGCAGTAAAATAACAATAGCGAGGCTATATAAAGGGGGTGCATAGATAATAAACAGAGAGTAGCAGCAGCGTAAAAGGGGGGGGGCAATGCAAATAGTCTGGGTAGCCATTTGATTAGATGTTCAGGAGTCTTATGGCTTGGGGGTAGAAGCTGTTTAGAAGCCTCTTGGACCTAGACTTGGCGCTCCGGTACCGCTTGCCGTGCGGTAGCAGAGAGAACAGTCTATGACTAGGGTGGCTGGAGTCTTTGACAATTTTTAGGGCCTTCCTCTGACACCGCCTGGTGTATAGAGGTCCTGGATGGCAGGAAGCTTGGCCCCGGTGATATACTGGGCCGTACACACTACCCTCTGTATTGCCTTGTGGTCAGAGGCCGAGCAGTTGCCATACCAGGCAGTGATGCAACCAGTCAGGATGCTCTCGATGGTGCAGCTGTATAACCTTTTGAGGATCTGAGGACCCATGCCAAATCTTTTCAGTCTCCTTAGGGGGAATAGGTTTTGTCGTGCCCTCTTCACGACTGTGTTGGTGTGCTTGGACCATGTTAGTTTGTTGGTGATGTGGACACCAAGGAACTTGAAGCTCTCAACCTGCTCCACTACAGCCCCGTCGATGAGAATGGGGGCATGCTCGGTCCTCTTCTTTTTCCTGTAGTCCACAATCATCTCCTTTGTCTTGATCACGTTGAGGGAGAGGTTGTTGTCCTGGCACCACACGGCCAGGTCTCTGACGTCCTCCCTACAGGCTGTCTCGTTGTTGTTGGTGATCAGGCCTACCACTGTTGTGTCATCTGCAAACTTAATGATGGTGTTGGAGTCGTGCCTGGCCATGCAGTCATGAGTGAACAGGGAGTACACAAGGGGACTAAGCACGCACCCCTGAGGGGCCCCCATGTTGAGCATCAGCGTGGCGGATGTGTTGTTACCTACTCTTACCACCTAGGGGCGGCCCGTCAGGAAGTCCAGGATCCAGTTGCAGAGAGGGGTGTTTAGTCCCAGGGTCCTTAGCTTAGTGATGAGCTGTGAGGGCACTATGGTGTTGAACGTTGAGCTGTAGTCAATGTTTAGCAATGATCATGCTGTTTAATCACCTTCTTGATATGCTTCACCTGTCACGTGGATGGATTATCTTGGCAAAGGAGAAATGCTCACTAACAGGGAGGTAAACATATTTGTACACAACAGTTGAGAGAAATAAGCTTTTTGTGCTTATGGAAATTTTCTGGGTTCTTTTATTTCAGCTCATGAAACATGGGACCAACACTTTACATGTTACGTTTTTCTTTTGTTCAGTATATACTAGAGGTATTGAAGGAAGCACAGAATAAAGTCTTACATGTGAAGTATCGTCAAACCCCTGTTATTTCTCCCACCAGGTGGTGCTAGTGTGTAAGACATATATGTTTGGAATGTATCCTTATTATCATGAATGAAATGTCTCCAAGCAGTAATTTTGTATGCCAGTTTTCATTATTCATAATCTATAAGGCACCTAGGATTTGGTAGCCATATTACCTGACTCTGCACTATACAATTCGCTTCTCTTTAAAATCCTGAAAGCAAGTTTCCTAAAATGAATCTTAATATGAGTATATTAATACACTAATAAGGCCTATTTCTCGCTCTCTCTCTTATTGGCAGTCAGAACACAGCATACTGTGCAGAGTTCAGTCCAGGTTAATTTTAGTTGGTCCCAGATCTGTTTTTGTACATGACAGTGACCATAGGAGTTGGCTAATTGTACGTCATAAACAGATCTGTGACCAGGCTAGATTCACTTATCAGTGTATTGTTATTGAATCAGGATTGGGCAGTTTTTTCATTTGGCTGTCAGAGACACAGATTGTGACCCAAATGGCAGCCTATACCCTATATAGTGCACTACTTTTTACCAGAGCCTATGGGCCTTGGTGAAAAGTAGTACACCATATAGTGAATATGGTCCCATTTGGGACACAGTCAAGGGCACCTGGTGTCTGGACTGCATCCTCGCTATCGGCTATGACACATTAGCGGGCTAACGCATCACACATCATAAACAGCTACAGCAGAGACTCCTTTGAGACACAAAAACAATTTACTCAAGAGCTCAAACAAAACCTGTAGAAGCTGACGTGTTTAGGAATTGTACCTGATATTGAGGAATGTGTGACAAATGGTATTAGAGCCTGAGTTTTACTATGACTTTTATAAACGACTAATATCCCCTCCGGGATTAATAAAGTTATTCTATTCTGTACAAGAACTCGCCTCACTTGCTGCTGGTAAGATAGCTGTTGCAAGCTATTTTTTATTCTAGGCTACAGATATTTATCTGAAATGTGGAATCTGT